GCAGTAAGGCCTAGGAAAAATTTTTTGTATTTCCTGTTTTCCCAACTGACCCTAGAAAAAACTGCTGAGCATAGCCCCTTTTTTTAGTGGACCCCTGCAAGGAACATAATTTTTTGAGCTTATCAACCATTTCTAGCTCCATGATCTGACACTTGAGTGATAAAACGTTGTACAATCGGTTTTCCAACTTTTAAAATACAAGTGTGAGTGTCCTCATGCAAGTTTTACTTTGTTAAACTGTAGTGTATAAGTTGGATCACTAGAGATGTCTGGTCCACAAAAAGGAAGAAAGAAAAGGATAATCCCTACCTACTGACCATAATTTTTTCAGGACTGAAACAGGAAACACAACATTTTCTTCCGAGGCCTAAGTGTGTGTGATATAAGCAAACTGCCTCCCCCCCCCCCAAAAAAAATGCCCCCAAAATGCCTGCAAAGGAGGCTACTTTCTTTCTGTGATCCTCATCAGAAGGGGATATCCCCCATGGGTTTCTCCTGTTCCTGAAAGAAAGTCCTTGTGAGAGAACTCTGCTGGCCCTGGCACAGTAGGGGACTGGCACACACACACAAGGATTCTATTTGCCTCCTAATGAAAGCTCTGATGTTCAAAAGTTCCCAATAAATTAGAGGTTTGGCTGGGATAAACTTCAATGCTGTATGCTGTAGAGAAAACTTATAAAGCTACTGTAAATTACAGTCAAACCTGTACTAGCGGTCACCTTTGTATAGTGGTCACTCGGCCATAGCGGTCAGTTTTTGCCGGTCCCTTCAATTTTTCCCATTGACGTAAGCATTAAGAATCGTGTCTATAGCGGTCACTGTTCAACGCGGTCAGCGGTCACCCCATTCCGGTCCCGCCTGCATGTCAACACCGCCGATAGCGGTCGCGGCTGGCCGTAACCCGCTAAGCACCACGGCCGTAACACCACCCCACCTCGGGCTACGACCGTTATGAGCCTTGTGATAATTTTCCGATCGCTACATTACTAAAATGTGAACTGAAAATTATACTCCATATGTGTATGAAATAAAGGAAAACTGACTTTTGACACGAAGTTTCTGCGGTCGCGGGTGTCTTTGATATCTGCGTTTTCCCCAACACCAGTGCCGTGCGTGCCGCATGGAGCTTCAATGGACTCGGCCTCTCGGCGAAGATTACGGCAAATTATCTTTACAAAAAAACTTAAGAATATCCATATTTGGTTTCTCGATTCCTTGAAATGCGTAGATATGTGCATAGCTTCCGTTTTTCATGGGCATAATTAAAGAAATTTGGTTCGAAAATGCGTTTCGTATTTTTCCAAGATGGCGCATGTTAGCTGCAGAGGGAGGTCAATTGGGGTCATCGGAAGACTCCACTGTTATGGAGGTAGATACACCGAGTTTTATTTAACTTCATTAGCGTCAAATGACGTAATTACATTATGAAAACATTTGAAATACATTACTACAATTAATTTTAGATGTAAATTTAACACTGTAGTGGATATTTTAGAAAAGATATAAGTCTGAAAGGAGAAAATTTTCTGTTGACTACCACATTGGCATAATGGTAGAGGCAGACAACCCACACGGGGAGAAACCCAAGCCGTAAACAAAGGAGAGTTTTCATGTTCAAAAACGACCAAAAACGGAAAGTAACTGGCAACTGACGAACAATTATTTTGCTGTTAACTAAATAGACAGCATCTTGGTACAAAATAACTTATTTACGTGGTTGGAATTCGCTGTGGCGTATGTCGGTCGCGCGAAGCAAGTGTTCACCAAAGAACAAAAACATGGCGATGTCGTTCTCTTCCACTTTTCGACTAACAACAACGACTACTAGTAACGTGGCGATTGCGGAGAAACGATGGCGAAAGCGGAAAGACGGACGCCAAACTTATTCCAAAAGGTGGAAGTGATTCGACTGGCAGAGAGAGTGAGAAGAGATCGTCGAAAGCTGAGCTTAGATTAAATGATTTTGCAGTCGATAGAAATTTGTTTGGAGTTGAAAGTTTGTTGCTTGATTTGCTTTCTTTCTTTAGCCACATGTAGTACTAGTATGTACACAAGAACAGTAAATGACAACCAGTGATTTTGTATGTTTTAAATTATGTGAATGGTTTCATTGTCCCAGAATAGATTAACTGAATATGTTGAGTGTATGTATCTTTGATGTCAAGTTAATGTTTCCATGCAATATTTCTGTATTTCTTTTTTTTTTCAAGCAAGTACAAAATAAAGTACAACTAAAGCAAAAGAACAACAAATTATTGAACTAACACATGTACATATAAAAGGGGTTTACCTTTGCAAATGTATGTATTCATATGTTTCAGAATAAAGACATCACTGTTGGTACTCAAAGCATGTGTCCCTTTTTTGGGGGGGGGGGTCAATTAACCGGCTGTTTCTCTATAGTGGTCACCTGGCCATAGTGGTCAAATTTGGCCAGTCCCTTGAGTGACCACTATAGGCAGGTTTGACTGTACTTCTTTTATCTTAGCAAATTATCGCGAAAAAATAATTCACCAACTTTCTTTCTTCTGCACCTTCTGCCACCGCAAACATATAGTTCCACAAACGTGTCCATTTTTCTCAGAAAGTGATTTACAGTATTCCAAGTCTGATTTTGATTTTTGGGGGGCATCAGGCCAGGTAAGCCTTGCTTGGCAAAATTATGTGTATGCTGCACTTTGGCCTTGTAGTTAGGTACCTGATACATGATGGGCTTGGCTAGATTTATATTTTCCTCAAATGTTTGTGGCATGTTGTACATCGTACTCTATACGACTGTCAACCAATAACTCGAGTCCCCTCGGTTGGAAATGTATTATTTATGCTGCTTGTTTTTAGAAGAAAGACTTACAAAACCCACATATCTGCTTGGAGATTAGTGGCACGCCAGCTCATAATACTGTAATTCCTGATTTTTTTTGCGGTAATTTTATGGTCACAGCTTTTCGCGGCCACTTCTGTACCATGATCTTATTACCATTATCCAATGATTCGCAGCATTTCGCTTTCTTTTTTCCTGCGCCTGTCACCACGGTGACCATAAAATTCCGTAAACATGTCCATTATTCTCAGACTAGAAATTTTCACTACTGCAAACACAAAGTGAATTTACAGTAATGTGGCTCAGAGCAGACCCCAGAACTAAAGTGGGTATTCATTTGGGGTGGGCTAGGAGTAAAGAGGTCACATTCCTTGGGATAGTCTCCGCCACATGGGCTTACCCTTGCTGGGGTTAGCAGGGTTCACAAAACACATCCAAAAATCAGAAGTATAAGTCCTTGTTTTCCTGCAAAGAAGCTTTTCTCAAGAAAATGGAATGGATTCCCGGGGTTTAACCTCGGTTCCTGAGTTGTCTGTAGAACTTTTACTTTTAGAAGAGCAGTACATTATGAATTTGTGGTTACACCTTTTGACAAGAACTCTATGGGGGATGGTTGGGAGAAGGTATCAGGTATCACAGGTTATTAGAGGCAGTTGAAGCCATTTAGCAAAAGGAAAGGTTCTGCCCTAGTTTCTGTTGGAAGGATTGCATCCAATGCAATTTTACTAAATTAGGGATTCAAAACGAAAAAATAAACTGGATGCAGAAATCTTTCTGTTATTGACATTTGCTGCCATTTCTTAACAGGTAATCTTTGTCATCTTTGTCACTTTTAAGTACTTAAAAGTTAAAGCATTTGAAATAGCCCCAAAATAAAAGTGCTGAAGCACCTCTATAGTTTTTGGGTACCACCCACAAATAGCTTCACAGATATTGGTATGCTATGGGATAAGATTTACTTTAACTTACTACTGTCATGATCGAGAAAAGAAAGACAAGAAAATTGAATTTGAAGATCCAGTTTTGCTGTCCTGAACAATTTTAGAACAATTTTAAATGGTGTAGAAATACATTTTGAAATAGATGTGTACACTGTAGGTATATTAAAAGCAGGTAAATGGGATATGTATCACTAAAAAATTTTAGAAGCAGCATCTTTAAAACATAAGGCCTCAGTTTTAAGGTCATCTGCCATTATACAGTATAAATATAACCCATCTGACCATCATTGTTAAGAGATTTGACGGTGTCATTTATACATCCCCCACAAATGTCAAATGAGGTTTCGTAAAAGGAATCCAAATTTAGTGTCAGTGAAAGGCTACCACTATATCAGTCTGTGAGCCGCTCTCATAAATATTTATCAAATATTCTTTTGAAATTGGTTTTGTAATAGTCTGTGATGTCTTCCTTTGTGATAGCTCACACAGTGCGTGAATTGTATTGTTCTACGTTTGAATAATATATGTGGCCTGGGTGTAAATTATGAAGTAGTTGCCACAGCGTTTTCATGCACCAGTAGCTCTGGCTACAGATTCCTTCACTTCTGTATACCTGTATTAGCCAATTAGTATTCGGTAATACAAGTGTCACATGCGAATAGGCCATCTGATTTTTATCCCTTTGTAATTGTATGCAAGGCGGTTTTTTGAAAAGTTAGACTTGTCGTTGCTTGATCTTGGAAAGAAAGGCTAGGCGGAAAATGTTTTTGCAAGGCACAAAATACCATTTCCACTCTTCAACCTATGCCTGCAAGACTTTTACTATACCACAGGTAAAGTGTCTTTGGTATAGAAGTGTTAATAAGCAATAATTTTATGTAATATTGTTGGTTATTGTACATGTATTGTTTTTTGCTCCTCTAAAGAACTCATTCAAACATTTTGAAAGTGGGGTCCTGTGGCGTAATGACAGAGTATTTGGCTCCGAACCAAGAGGTCCTGAGTTCGAGTCCTACCATGCCACCGATATTGTGTCCTTGGGAAAGGCACTTTACACAAACTTCCTCTCTTCGCTCAGGTGAAAAAGAGTATGTCTGTTGTCTGTGCATTTGTCTGCGTTGGTGGTGGTATAAAATTAAAAATGAGTGTGTCGTCACAATATGTCTTGTGAAATGTTGGAATATTTAAAAAAAAACATTTTTATTTTAAGATGGCGGATTTTATCTATGTTACTCTAGGACTGGATGCGGGCATCCGGCGCGTCACTGTCTCGACTGGACCAGGTCCGACCCAACGTGTACACCATGGGCGCCCAGGACCCGAGAACACTGCGGGCCGGTAGCGCCAGGCGACGCCGGTCCTCAGGTAGACAGCCGGGAAGCACGCCGTACCAACAGATCGACACAGAACCACCCCTGGCCGGAATCACATATCAGAAAACTGCATGGTAAGAAAACAAGACATAGATTTCCCCTCTATCTACTGTGACATATTTACACCGAATTTATACTTCAACATTAGAGTGTCAGTGGTAACCAAGATATTCTTTGGGGTTCACTGAGCTTTTTTGTAACAACACTTGAATAAGTAAGGAGGAATAAGTAAGGAGGAAGAATTTGACCAATCTCAGTTCTAGGTAATTCCCTATAACTTCCTGGAACCACCTGTAAGTGTTTGGGGTCTCTGCATACATATATCAGGGCTGGAAATATCACAGTACAGGTAAAATTGGAGCTGTGCAGGTATTTTTGATGTCTACCTGCACCTAACCTGCACTGGTCCATGTACTGGGTATATGCAGGTTAGTGCAGGTAAAATTGGAGCTGTGCAGGTATTTCTGGTGTCTACCTGTACCTAACCTGCACTGGCCCATGTACTTTGCAGAGAAAGTATTTCGAGCCCTGTTAATATAGTCTGTTCTCAAAATCAACCCAGAAGAATTAAGGTCCCGTCATAGTTTAGACTTGTGTATTAGTTTGTAGATCAACTAATCGGTTAGTTTTACCCACGGTGTGTTTTGTCAGGTCCATTTATTAACCACACACAAATCATCTTTCTTAGGCCTAGGGAAAAAAATGTTATGTTTCCTGTTTCAGTCCTAAAAAATTTAGGGTCAGTTGGTAGGGATTATCTTTTTTTGTGTGATCTCTAGTGATCCAACTTATACAGTTTAACAAGGTTGAAAAAGATATACCCCTTGCAGGGGTTCACACAAAAAAGAAGGCTAGAGTCGGCATTTTTTTCTAGGGTTGGGAAACAGGAAGCACAACATTCTTTTTCCTAGGCCCGAGGGTTGGATAGCACAGGTACATGTACGGGTTAACCTGTCGTGTTTGCCCTCTGGTTAGAAGTGAGGTGCCATGCAAACACTTCCACGCAACCGTCACCCCCTTGTGCAAACGGTCACTCCCCCCAGTCTTTGCCCACTGTCAGGGACTCTCCAAAAGATGGTGTTAAATTTTCACCAGCCCCTCCCCTTGTGGGAATATTATGATAGGGAAATGTCGCGTAGAGCTAACCGTGCAGGACAGGTGGGTTGTTTGGCGGTGACAACGTTTGAAAGGCCGGGGCTAACACGTTTGCTTGTCCAGGGGGAGTCAGACGTCCATCCCGGAGCTGATCAGACAGCAGAGCGAGAGACAGCGCCCGCAGAGCGGTAGGCGGCCATGGAGCGGGAGGGGGGTGCCGCCCCCTCCGCAACGGAAGGACAGTCGCGAACAACCCCCTCCACCGAGGGCACCAGGGGGGCTGATAGCAGGTACTGTAATTTACTTCATACTCGCTGTCGCAAAATTTCACAGTTGAAAAAAAATGGTCGTGTTCACGGAACTATATATTCGCGGTGGCAGTAGTAGGTGCAGAAAAAGCTGTCAATGAATTATTTGATAACAGTAAGTTTGCAGTATGGAAGTGACTGAAAACCGCGAATGTAATGTACCACAAGAAAATGGGAAATTACAGTATACCAGGTCTCTGTCTTTCTTGGATCAGGGCTGGAAATTTATATTTGGGAATAGGTTTGCACAGAAAAGATTTGGAAATAGAAAAGATTGTCAGCTGAACTGAAAACTGAAAAGTTGCTACCTCTCTGAAGTTCAGAGATTGATTCTGAAATTCAATAGCTATCCTTAGAGTGTTAGACAAATAATAGTTTTACTATTATTTCAGACATTTTTATTCAGTATGCTACTGTACATTTGTACCTTTGCGTATGTGAAAATACACAAATATCTAGTCACAGTCCTAACTTAGGTGTCATATGACTCCAAAATATTCACCTGGTATTTTGAGCCCAGTGGATTGTTAACCAAAGTGTATGCACAGCTTTTTAAGTCAAATTGTGCTTTTCTTGTCTTGTTTGTTAAGTCACTTTGATGTACAGATAGTTGCTTTGGTGAGATGGGCTAAAGAGGCTCCTCCCTTCTCTTCCTTTCTTTCTTTATTTGTATGCTGAAGAGTCCTGGCATCCATCTTGTATTTTAAGTCACTCAGTTGTATGGTACAGTGGGCGCTCGAGTACCCCTCTGCTAAAAGGTGTAGCCTAAGTGTTACTAAGACAGAGAGATTCAGTACCCCATCTGGGCCTCTTGTAGCCCACTACGAACACTCAGAGGTTCCAACAGTTCAAACTTTCACATACCTGACTTTTGTGCCCTGCCTGGCATTATTACAAATAGCAAAAGCCAAATGTGGGGCTAGAAATTCTAGAAGGGGAGGGGGGGCATGTTTTCAAGATTTACTGAAAGGCACAGTAAAGTAGAAGTTATCCTAATTTCATGTTTATTGGACCCATATTTTGCAGCACAGTAAAAGTGAAGTCTACAGTATTTTTCAGAATACTCGCAAAAAAATGTAAAAGACGGCATTGGTGTTTTCGGGTTTGATAAATTTGCAGTGGCAAAACACCATGAAAACCACAGGCTTAGAAATATGGTGAACATTTCAAGATATAATATAGTACTTCTTGAATAGAGGTCTTTCTCTGACTGCTAGAACCTTTAGAGTCCTTACAGCATCACAGTCTGCTAGAATGAGTGAATTCTCCTTTATTGTAAAGCCTTCTCCACTCAGATTGGCCAAAGATTTATCTGCCTTATCATGTATTAAAAGATAAACCCACTGAGTAGATACAATTCCTTATCTTCATACTGGACTTTGCTACGCTGTCTATTTGTTCTCACTAAGGACGACGCACCAATTTCGAAACATTCATTTTCTTTGCGTCCTCAGTTTTAGGAGAGAAATACTCGCCGTCAGAGCGTCCTCCGAGCGGAGTGGCGACACACAACACGTCCACGTGGGTGCCCCGCGGCCGCGGCGCGAAAGACGAAGACGCGGAAGACACAGATCGAATCATCCAAGAGATCCTCAGCAGCCAGGACCAGACTGACAAGTCTCTAGGTGAGTTCTGCAGTTACTAAGATGAAAAAAATTATTACATTCAACTGTACTGTATCATAAAGGCCTTATTAGACTCAGTAAAATGATATGTTTTAGACTCATAAAATTGAAATGTTTTGAAAATTCAACTGTGGTTTGCAGCTATTTTGTTACCAGAATCTTCAGGTAGTTTGCCTAGCTTTCTTTTTCGTTCAACTTGAGACATAGCCAGCGCAGATTTGAGAGAAGGAGCCTGAAGCAGGACAAATGTTTGGGTAATTTTCTGCAAGGAAGATTTCATCCACCCAAATCTGTATTTGCCCTGTCCACCATCCATCATGTACACACTACAGAATACATTACTAATTCATCCAGGCGTTGTCTGAACACAAGCAAACAAAAGCCTCGGGTTAGCATCAGAAAGAATCCCTCAGAATATTATTAAAGGTATCCAGTGCATATTTCAGGGCAGCAAAACTGGATATATTCTGAATAAGGCAATCTTTGTGATATTGACACATACTGCTTCACATTCATTAGCACATTTGTATCAGTATTTCATACGTTGGGCTTGTAAAACTGCAGAAACAAGCCCCAAGATGAGTCTTTTATTTTCTGGGAGGTACCCTAAAAATCATACCAGGGCCACTCCAGTAACCATTTTCCGTCAGAATTTTGGTAATTTTTGCTCCATAAGGGTCAATATACATTGGGATAGTGTGGTTTTCAGCTCAGTATGTAGATAAATGACTAGAATATTGGCTTTGAAAAATCGGGTTTTCAAGCTCTAAAAACTGCACTGGATGCCTTTAAGACATGCGGAGAAGCGATCAGCACGCAATTAAGTAGGATTATGCGGCAGTTGTCTTAAAACAAACGGTGGTCATCAAGCCGTGGTTGTGTTTGTCCTGCAGCTAAGATGACAAGGCTGTATGGAGAGGGAGAGCCACCGCCCCCTCCCCGAGGGTCACCTGACCTGGAGCAGATGATCAAAGACCTGCCCTCCCAGTCAGACCTGCAGCAGGGCAGTCCACAGCAGGATGGTTCAGAAGGGCAGCAGGAACCTACAACTGTAAGTACTGCAGTTCCTCATTTTTTACCAGCACTTTTATACACTATTATATATTCTATATATACACAATTATGTGTAGGCTGTTTTTCAGTGAGCTATAATTTTTGACAACAAAGCTATGCCAAGAGAAATCGTGTTAACTAAGCTGGAAAAACATGAGTCTTTGATAATGGGAACATTTAAAAATCTTGAAAGGGTAAAGTGTAGTTGGTTGGTGAATCAATTGCTGGATCGCATGGTCTTGGGTTCGAATCCGAGCAGAGATAGTGTATACTTAACTCGTCTCCAAAAGAATACTAATAATATAGGAGCAAGAATGGAAACAACTGGTCTTCATTTCAAAGTATACTGTAAGTCCTGATTTTTTTTCGCAGTAGTTTTATGTTAACGGTTTTTCCCTGTCACTTCTGTACCGCAAACGTATCATTACTGCTAACAACTAATTTGCCGGCTTTCTTTTTTTTCTGCACCGTGAACACATATAGTTCTGTGAACACCCCCAATATTCTCAGACTGCGAATTTTTTGCTACTGTGAATATAAAGTGAATTACAGTACTTTACAGAGTCACTGACGAAAAGGATGCTACTTAAAACATTGACAGTTTTCAAAACCTATCCAGTTGCTTGAGTAACAATTTCTTTGTGTAACTGTAGTGCAAGTACTTTCCTGATTTTTTTTCACAGTACTTAAATGTTCAGTTTTCGTGAGCTTGTCATTACTGTTATTGAATCAATTGTCTTTCAGCCCCTTTAGTTTTAACTCTATGGTGAATATTGTGTTCTGTGAACATGTAAACAGAAACGTGTCCCAAAAGATTTGCAAGTCATCCTTGTTAGCTCTTCAAATTCCCCCCAATTCTCTCTATCCTGAGAAGGCTATTGATTAAAAAGTATATCAGCTTAAAAATTATACAGTTGCACTACATATGTGTTAGTAGATGTTTCAAAATACCTGCTCTCAAATTTGTGTGAATAAGGTGGCTGCAAGTCCCAAGATTTGTGTGTTCGAAAAGTTAGAAGGAATTCTTGTAGGCAAAGCTACTACTAGTTATACTGGCTTTTTGCTAACAAAAGTGGTGACATGGCTATACTGTAGCTTTTCAATTTTTTTTTTGCAGTTAATTAATAGCTCAGGGCATGTAGTAAGGAATGTGGTAGGACCACTGTAAGGTCTCAAATTTTTGTGAGAGAGTCTTAAATCAACCTGTTGGGACATTTTTGTCTGTTAAGAGATATAGTTAAGGACCTATCAGATGAAATTGTTCGATCAAACCACTCAAAATACTTACTAGCATGAGGATTGTAGCTTGGAGCTAGAAAAGGTAAATACACAGGTGAAGAGGTGTAAAAATGGTCATTTGAATGGACTAATCGCTGCATACGTTACTTCTGGATTTGGCTAAATCTTAACTGTTAACACATGGTGTGTTTAACGAAGTTCAAATGTTGGGGAGCCTAAACTAAAGTAAAATAGAAGTCACGAAAGTAAAACGTGTCATAAGGTAATAAGAACAATCTACCATTTTCTTTTGTGCTTTTTAAGCTGCTGAAAAAGTTTAATATACTAGAATTGCTAACAACAATGAGTTTATTTTCAAGTTTCTTTTGCAAGATGTGTATACAGCTTGGTTATACCAGAAGATATGCCCAGATAGCGGGATTTTGTGAGGAAATGCGGGGGGATTATTAGCAGGTTTGCACAGCGAGTGTACGGTTGAGTGCTGCAATCCATCAGCCTGTTTGATAGCACAACAGGGAACGCCCACCTGAAGAATTCCGGCCTTTTGTAGGTCCAGCCTCAGTGTTGACCAGCCGGGCCATTGTGGTCAAGTGACCCCTGCCACACCTTGCTGACCGCTTGTTCAGAATTCGTGTCCAGTTCATCTCTTTTTCTCAGAATGTAATCTTATGTTAAACGCTCCTGCAAATTAGTGCTAGCTGGAAACATCAGTTGTAAACTAATTATAATGTCTATGTAGACTGTTTGCACATGGTAAGAATTGTGTATTACGTTTTAGGTACTTGTAGGCATTTTGGAGCTCATCTCTGACAGTATTTTTTAGCATGGGAAGTGTTGTCGTCTTTTTGCACGTAATCCACCTATATCTCATTACCTAACCCAGGAAACCATAGCCTGGGTACCATCCTACTTCTATGTCGGGGCTCCCATAGTTGCTTCCCTAAGAAGTACTTCTTAGGGAAGCGACTATGGGAGCCCCGGCATAGAAGTAGGATGGTACCCAGGCTAAGGAAACCAGACTAGTGTATTCATTTCTAGTCTTTCTGAAGCTGAGAAATTCCCAGAGGCTGTGAAGGGGGTCTTTTGTTATCCTGGTTGGTGCTGAAACTCCCCTATTCTCTGTTTGATCTAGTTTTAGTCCTGACATGTAAGGGTAGCTTCTGAGCCACCTGAAAATTTTGCATTTTTATAAAAGTGGAAAATCCTTAAACTGGACCAGGGCACATGGTTGGTTACTTGGCAGGATTCGAACCCGGGACATCTTGGTTCTGAGCCCAATGCTCTGCCGTTATGCCTCACAACCCTATTCTGATACTTTTCCCCACACAAAAAATGAAGTTGTGCAGCTTATTTTATCAGTGTTTTGTTTCTTTTTGTTGATGTGTAGTTCGTTCCTTGTGGTATAGTTTTTAACAGTCGTTTTTTTCCGTTGACAGGAAATCTTGGTGCGGCAGGCGCCAGTGCCCCCGACTGTACCGCTTTTGCGGAGACCCGCGCCCGAACCCATCCGCTTCGCCATTCCAACGGGAGACGAGGACGAAGGCAACGGAGACGACAGCGATGAAGATCACAGAAGGTGACAAAATATCGTAAATCCATTTCTTCTGAGGAGGTGACAAAACACTGTAAATCAGGGCTCTAGGCAGCTCGAAACCTTTTTCTGTCAGCCCAGGTTTATGATCTGACCTGGAGGGAGAGTGTGCGCAATCTAAGGGAGTCCAGGGGCAAATTTTGGATTTTTCAGCCTTTTAAAACGTAATTTCCAACATATTGAGGGCAAATCATGGGGTTGAGAGTGGTTAGTGTTGGTCCTTTGGATGCTATTATGCTTTTACTCAAGATTTTTGTCAGTTTTGACCATGAAGGTTGACGGATTGGTTTTAGTAATTTTTCCATCACACTCCACAAATTTCCTGCAATTGACGGAAAAACGGCTAGAGATCTGCTGTAAATTCATTTATATTCGCAGGGATTTTAACTTCGCAGTAGAAGTAGGAAGGTGGTTTTCGCTTGTCGTAACTTTGCTGCGTCACAAAAACACTTTACCACAAAAACCACAATGATAAAACTATTGTATATGTATCAAAATTTCCAGAATGATTTGAATCATTTCAAATTGGATGGGTAGAGAAACAGCAGAAGTATTTGTCTTGTATCTCTGTAGTAGTTTATGAATGTACGTACATTCAGCAAAGACCTAGAAATGTTTTTTTGGTCAGTTGGCACGTTTCTCCTTTTCTTTGGTAAGTTGTTTGCCAGAAAATTTCCATTCAGAACCACTGAGTAGTCTACAAACCGTTCCCGCCCTAGAGTAACAGATTAATGGGGAACTAATTAATGAGGTTAATTTGCATACCCAATTAACAGCTTCCTGTGGGAACTCTTTTTGCAAACACAGCATTAAATCCTTCTGATGGCAAGATTAGGGAGAACAAAAGACTGTAATTGTAACGATAAACAAGGGTGATCAACAACAAACAAGATGTGTGTACACAAACATCCCAGAGTCCAGTTAGCAAGTAGAGCCAAGGGTCTTGCAACTCATTGTGTTAAGAAGGTGTTTAAACAAGTCAACAGTTGAATAGGACATACATTTGTAACAACAGAGCTATACTATAGGTTTGGTGGAAGAAACTGAAATGTTTAAATGTTAATTTTTAGACCTGCATATACCCAGTACATGGACCAGTGCAGGTTAGGTGCAGGTAGACATCAGAAATACCTGTACAGCTCCAATTTTACCTGCACTAACCTGCATATACCCAGTACATGGACCAGTGTAGGTTAGGTGCAGGTAGACATCAGAAATACCTGCACAACTCCAATTTTACCTGCACTAACCTGCATATACCCAGTACATGGACCAGTGTAGGTTAGGTCAATAGGTGCAGGTAGACATCAGAAATACCTGCACAGCTCCAATTTTACCTGCACTAACCTGCATATACCCAGTACATGGACCAGTGCAGGTTAGGTGCAGGTAGACGTCAGAAATACCTGTACAGCGCCAATTTTACCTGCAGTAACCTGCATATGCAGATGGTAGTTCAAGCCCTGCCTTTACTATATGTTTTTCTAGCCCTTTTTTTAGCCTATGTTCCAGTTTATTGAAAAGCTGTACTCATTCTTGGCCGTCCTGCTCTGCAACAATATTTCATCAGTGGTGAACTAGTGAAGCCTACTGGTGAAATGTAGTTGCGTAGGAGGCCGGCCACTGTCTACGGGAAGATGGCACAGAACCAAAGGGATAGACTTGTAGATATCAGAACTTTCAAACTTCAATGTACTTAGGCCTTGGCAGCCTTCTCAAAAAAATTAGAGTAGGTGGCTGATAAGAAAAAGTAGCAGGCGAGCCACGAAGTGGCTCGAAGCGAGCCGCGCAGCGGCTCGCGGGGGAGGGTACGGGAGGGGGTGGCCCCCTCCCGTTGGGGGGTCCGGGGGGCCTCCCCCGGAGGAAATCGTAAAAATTAGACCCCTAAACATCGTTTTTGGTACATTCTGAGCATCTTTGATGGCAATCTTATGGCTCCAAAATTTACTGTTCGTGCACAAATAATTCCGGAAAAAAGGCTGTATTAAATTTGTTTGCCACTCCGATCGTATTACGCGCGGTCCTTGCGCCCGGCTACAAAATGCAAAAAAATAAAGAAAGCATATTTAAATGTCAATTTGATGGAAAACATAATCATTGGGATCTGAAAAAATGTCACAGGTTCGCTTTTTGGAAGTTTTGTTTCTGTTTTGACGGTTTAATTCTAGCGGGGTGCGGTCCATAAATGCCGATGGAAATTCACCCCGCGTCCCGGTACACTGACTTCCGGGTTCCTTGAACAAGAATATTACGAGAAAAAGGCCAAAAATCGGCGTAGAGAAATATATATCTTCCCGACAATTCTTTTAATTATGCATTTATTTAATAGGATGTTGCTAAGTAGTCGTAGAAAAAACGTAGAAAGCAGCGTAAATGTGTCTCTCTTCTGCACCGGCGAAGAAAAATCTTCCCGCGCTGCCGGCTGCTGGCCACATCGCTTATCCAATCAGAACGCAGGTCATGTGAGGTGAACCAATCAGAGCGTCGATCACGCGGTGCTACTTACTTATTCATGACAAGATGGCGCCTGAAAGCTCCTGTTTTTGTACAGCGATGTTTTTATTCCGGGGTTTTCTTAATTTTGACGCTGATTTTTGGCTCGCCGTGATTACGCTGCAAATGACACACTAGTGGAGGCAACAGATGAGTGATCATTTTACGATCGACAAGAACTTTTGATGAATGAAATAGCTGTGAAATCTCGCTGATGGCGATTTGTTTTGAAAAATTTGTCTTGTGTTTCTAACTGTGTATGAAAGATATGAACACGCTTCTGTACATGTCTTGATATTTTTTGACGTGAATTGGAATGTTACTAGTGCCGGGACAAGTTGGGAAGGTAGCGGCTTAATAAATTTTCGTGAGCAACGAGTTTACGAAGCGAGCAAGTTCCCTAGCTCGAGCGATACAGCTCCGCGGATACAACTCGAGCCCCGAACAAGACCCTCCCCCCGTAAAGTTTCGGCCGCTCGTAGAAGCAAACGCTGACTCGTGCACTAGAAATCTGCACAGGAGGCTAAGAAAGAAGCAGTTTTCAGATCCAGAAAGCTAGCAGAAAATTGTCTGAAGTTCGTCAGAAGAAATGAGCCGGTGGAGTTTGTGAGAAAATGTAACGGAGACTACAGTGTTTTTCTGAAAATTTACACGAAAGTAGCCGGCGCAAAAATTTGAGTAGGCGGCGATTTTCGCCGGTAGCCGGCTTGTTTTGAGAAGGCTGCTTGGAAAAAATGTTACATGTTTCCTGTTCCAGTCCTTAAAAAAATTAGGGTCAGTACATGCAGGGTAGGGATTATCTTTTTCTTTTTTTTAGGCTTTGGCAATCTCTAGTGATCAGTGATACAGTTTAACAAAGTAAAACTTGCATGAGGACACTTATATTTTCAATGTCAATGTCAGAAAACCTCGATTGTACAATGCTTCATCACTCAAGTGTCAGATCACGGAGCTGGAAAAATTTATGTCCCTTGCAGGTACTAGGTGCCCCAAAAAAAGGGTTAGTGTCAGCAGTTTTTTCTAGGATCTGTCAGGAAACAGGAAACAACTTTTTTTTCCTAGGCCTAAGAGTGACAGGATGGCTTGTTTTAAATGTGAGGTTACCGCCAGTGCAGTGTTATAAATGGTTTGGTCATTTGTGAGGGGGAGCTACACAGAGTTCTTCAGCTGCTGCTGCTATATGTAGGGCTCTGTTGTGGACAACCCTTTTCACTCGTGGCTCAGAGACTGACCGTCTGGGCCACTGTGGTCACCAATGACCAAATCTACGACCTACAGATTCAAACTGGACAAGGCAGCAGACACACATTTACAATATGTCGTATAGTATCTGTATCAGTGTAGCCAGTATAAGGACTTAATTTTATGGATGACATCTTTGAAGACCCCCAAAAACTAGTGCACATGGGCAAATAGAAAAAAATATGCTGCTAAACCACAGGAATACAAGCTGATATTGTGAATTTGTGGTAGTGCATAGCAAATTTTACGACAAGCCGGCACATGCTGGCATTTTGCAGCATTTTTAAGTCGGTACTGTACTGAGTTCTGGAGTTCCATTTAGCTTCGGCAGCCTGGATGCTGTAGTTACCGCCGGCTCCCTATCTCTAGCTACCTTGGACTTACCGAGGATGGTACCAAGGCCAGAGCCTCGGAGGAGGTGATTTTTTTTGGAACAGGCAAAAGTCAATGCGCACGTGGATGTCATCCATAAAGTTAAACCAGTGTGGCCTTATCAGTATCTCTTAATGTAGGAGGGAACAGGAGAACTTCATTTGTATAACCTATGGTTTGGTAAGAATGATGTGTTGTTAATTACCCCCTCTAGCAACGATGACAAGTACTGCATGGTGCACTTACTGACAGTTGTTTGTATGCCTCGAGTAGAGCAAATCTATCAGCAGACTGTCAGCAATGCATTTTGCGAATGCAGTATGACCTAAGCCATAGAAAAGGGGGCAGTCTTCCCTTGCCACATTCTTTATTGCCACATTCTTTATTCCAAACTGCTGGCATTGGTTAGGTTATTATTTTAAAGTACAAGTATTCTCAGAGCTTTAAAGAATCATACTGGAAATAAAGGCCAATTTTGAATTGTCGCAATGAAGTTGGTATAGAATTGGAGACCAAAAAATGTGGTCAGCATGTGCTTGAATGAAACAACTTGTGTTTTACAGAATAAGTACGAGCAGCAAGGAGGTAACTAAGGATGTGGACATTGTCAGCATCACCAGCGATACGTCGTCCCCGAGACTGTTACCCTCAACTTCTACAGCACTACACGCACAAGGAACGGACGAACAAACAAATGTTGCAAGAAAGTTAAACGTCACTATCAACGAGGGTCAGAATGTACTGATTAACATTACTCCTCGAGATATTGCATCAAGTGACGGTAACACAGAGCCCCCTAGCAGGCGCCCCAGAAGTGCAACGGTGGAGCGAAAGCCTGACACGAGCCTACAGTCTCTGCAAGAAGAGCTCGGGCTCACGGCTAAAGACGAGAGACAGAGAACGGCGTCTCCTAGAGGAGTACGGTCTGCGGTGAAGTCTCCGAGGTTGGTTAAACGTAGGGTCAAGTCTGCGAAGGCAAGACTCGATGTACGGACGGTATCTGTAGAGTACGGGGAGGAAAGAGATGAGGACAAGGACGAGAAAGAGGAGGAAAAAACTACCGCAGAAAATGAGCTCAAGAAGAGAAGAAGACGACGTCCAGACGAGGTTGAAACCATGGTCTCTCGTATCCCAATCTCCGACTCAGAAGAGCACCAGTCATCACAATTTGTTGCAACAAACGAGGGTAGAACGGAAACTAGAAAAACACAAGTCAGCTCTGTCAACTCCAACAGAAACTACTACCAGCTGTCCTTACAGCAGAGCGAAAAGTACAAGACGGTAAAAACGATCGAGTTTGCGGATGGCGGGCCATCGGAAACGAAGACGAAGACCCTGATCAGTGTGACGGAGAGGCCTGAAGGTGTCCGATCGGGAGTCTGGGATGTGGGGGCTGGGGAGGGGAAAGAAAACCACCTCGGCATCAAGAGACCGATGTCTGCCCAAAGGGTAGGAATGTTTCACACATGTAGCTCATGAGCACCTCCTACCAACTCACATGCAAACTACAGCAGCAACACTTTGTTCTAGAACATAACAAAATAAAAGAATTGTATTGTTTCCTTTGTATCTTCCTTTCTTCTATGTAGTACATCTTGTGCTGTGGAAGCACCCACCTGTAAGGCCTAGGGGAAAAAATGTTGTTTTTACGGTTTCCCAACTGAAAACTAGCAAAATTTAGCCTGTCAATCCTAGCCTTTTTTGATCTGCTGAATTTCAAACCCTTTGAATTCTGGAACATTGTTTAACGCATTTCAGAAGCAATTTGTCCACAAACAAACAGTTGGATAGGTCCTTAGGACAGTCCCAATGTATTGTTAAACTTTATCTTTTGGATCATTATAGCCAAATTAAAAAAACAATTTTTTTTAAATCCATACCTCCCAACTCTGGTTTGCTGAAAAGTTTAATATTCATTGTTTAAAGTAAGTACCAGCTTGGTATGTTGACTTCATGGCTCTAACTGTAGCTTTCATAGCTATCATAGGATGCCTAGGCCTGTTTTTATTTTTTTGCCCTGTCACTTCATACTTTTTATGAAAAAAACTAAGGCCTTGTAACTCTGGGCTTTATGTGTTCAGATTGTGTCCAGGCCACCTCCAAGACCAGAGTGTCGGCAGGGGTACTATGCAGACATGGACAGGCCTCAGCTAGAGACACCAGAACAGGCAGTAGACATAGACCTGGAGCCTCCACGGAGCCCCTCTGCACTACAACAAGCTATGGCTCTGGTACAGGACGTCATTTTGTGAATTAATTCTGAATACTAGTATACAGGGCTCGAAATTCTGGTGCACTCAACCTAAAAAAATTGGGTGCCCCATGTAAGCTGTTCTTAAAGATTTTATTTTTTCCTGACACATAGATGGTAAGAATATGCAGTATACTAATATACATTTTATACATGTACATAGTTTTATGTAAACCAGCAAAAAATAGCACCCTTAGAAAAAAAGTTGAGTGCACAGCTTTAATTTTGGGTGCACCCAGTGTTTCGAGTCCTGATACATGTATATAAAGAGCTCAGTCTTGTAGACATCCAGTGCAACTTCACGATGGCAAAACTGATTTTCAAAGTCAGTTTTCTGGTCAGTCTTGGCATTGTAGAAGGTTCAGTACTTTCCCATAGTGTACTGATATCTGTGATGCAAAAATTTGATGTTTCTGATTGAAAACGGTTGCTTGCTATTGAGGGGTGTCACAAAAAAAAAATAAAAGGACTCATGTAGCTTGTTTTGGGGCTAAATGATGACAAAGATGTCCTTAGAAATGACACTAAATGTCAATATTAGACAGATTTACTCATCCATTTTTTTGCTGTCCTGAAATTGCATTGGATGCCTTAAACAGTTGAATAACCTCGTGTATTAGGATAGCATTTCTGTCAGTATTTGCATGTGATTCTGCATTTGAATTAAACTATCACTACTCTTCCCTCCTTTCCAAGTCTCGCCAAAGGATGGAGTCTAAACCTCGGGTACTTTAGTTGTAACTTGTGGTCAATGTCTGGTGGAAGTTTTATGCACAATCACCCGATTAAAGCTATCTAAAATGTTCATGGTTAGTCCTTCCACAGTGCTTCTTGTGGTTACCAAACCTATTTTAGCTCTCAGTGTTTTATCCTCTCTGCATTGTCCTCTGCTATGTGTAAAGATAATCTGTTTCTGCACTTCACAAAAAACTCCCTTGTAGTTCCTGAACAGCTGCTAGGAGGACCAAAACCACACCACTTATTCCTGTCCGGAAAAGCTATCAACCATTTAGTATAGATGTACATGTACTCTGCAGAGGCATCTTTGAAACACATCTAGACTTTCTAGATGACTAACGGTAACCATTATTTTTCATAACAGAATCAGAAGCCTCCCAGACCCCACTCAGCCAAGGTCCCCAGCAGAGGTCTGGCAAAGAGCCCCAGAAAACATTCCCACCGCAGGCCCAGGTCTGCTACAGTAGGCAGCACGGTAAGACAGTCAAAATCTCTAACCTGAACTACCATTCACACTACATGTACCTTACAATGTAATACATAAGATTTACCACATTTGCGGTAGGATTGACAGGTGAGTATCACCTCTTCAAGAGACCATACTGTAAGGTTTGAACCACTCACACTGGGAATGACCCCTGCTCTTTTCGACAAATGTGGTTGGATCGTGCTCAAGGTGTGGCTCTCCTTAAACATGGACCTCTGGCTTTACCTCCAATCCGAGAGGACGTCCCTAACTGAAGCTAGGTACTCATTTACACCTGAGTCCAATAGGTGTAAAGTGCCTTTTAAAAGGACACAGCAATAGGGCCTGCCTGGGATTCAATGTTTCCACAAATGTTGTAAACCAATTTGCACCTTTAGACTCTGGCAAGATTATTTATGGTAATGTATGCAGGAATCTGGGTGAGGTAGTAAAGAGCTGTAGCGTTGTGTACTTTTGTTGTCATAGGTCCTTGAGCTAGACAGGTGTTCATGTGAGGACAGACTCCACGTATACATTTTCATTTCTACATGCCAGACCACAAGGAAAGTATACCGAAGCCCAACGTGTGTCTTTCTAGAGCGGGATCATCTTGGTATCCTTAGGCAGCATTTTTTAACCTTCTGTGGTTTGTGGAACAAATTTTTTTATTTCTTAAATGTGGCAGGGTGCAAAGAAGGAAGAAAAGGCTGTAAGCCGGGCCTTGGTTCCAGCGGCGCCCAAACCTAGCACAGCAGAACTGAGAAGAAACAGAGCGGCAGTGAAAGCCCTGAAGGCCGGTACCCTGTGTAAGGAGAAGGCATACATCGCCCCCTCCCCTCCCGTACAGGCGGTGAAGCCCATCGTCAGGAAAACCAACCGGAGGAAGGACAGTTCCAGCTCAGACGAAGAACTGGTGGAGAAAATGTTGCTGGCCAGACAGGAGGATGTAAATGTAAGGGTTGTTCAATACTGAGGAATACTGTAAATGACTTTATATTTGTGGCCTGACAAAAATCAACTTGTTTGTGGAATTATTGTAATGCAGAGGCTGTGGAAGATGAAATACACTTTATCTCAAATTGTTCCTTTCATAGCAATGCTCAAAATGAGCAAACTTCTACAATTTATCCCAATTTTACTAAACTTACAGACAAAGAGAAAACTATTCTTCTTTTAACTTCCCAAAACCCACTGATTTTGGAAAAGATGGGACATTACGTCTTCCATGGTCTAAAAAAGAGAGGTCAAACCCCTTAGACATAGTTTTAGACATAGCTATAGCTCTAGACAACTACCTTTTATCATGTAGATTTTAGTTATTTTATACTACGTTTCATTGTTCTTTTCTGTTTGTAATCTGCCCCCCGAGCATGAATTTGCAATAAACTTCACCTAAACTTCACTTATATGTTTGCAGTGGCAGCAGGAGCAGATGAAAGAAAATTGGCGAATCATTAAATTTTGTTTGTGGTATATGTAATAATATTGATAAATTTGCAGTACAGAAGTGACCGAGAAAACAGCAAATATAAAAGTACTGCAAATATCAGAAGTATTTTTCATGGGATTATACATTTTTGAAGTCTTTGGTAAATATACTAAGTATATACTGTTGTGTGTCTCTCTAGGAGACTAACACCCCTCGCACTGCAGAATGTAAGGACATCTATGATAGGCTGCAGGAGAAGGGCGTGGTCGTTTCCATGGACACCATCAAGAAGTAAGCACATCTTTTAGTCAAAAAAATTTCCTTTGTTAGACTACCATCACGTACATACATGTATGTCATTACTTTTCCAGGAGTAGCTTATCAATTAAACACTTGCTCTTCTTTCCGTTAGTAGAATATTCTTCAGTCAGTGACTTTTTTGAAAGCTCGCAAAACACGTACCTCCAAATTTTCAAGACCTACAGTGGACGTCAAAAATTTGGAGGTACCGGTATGTGTTTTGCAAGCTTTTATGAAAGTTACTGATAGAAGAATATTCTACTACATGTAACTGTTGATCTATAGGTAACTGATGAGCATTAATGTTGCTCTTGTTTCCTTTTCAGAGGGTTGATACCGCCTGAGGAAAAAACTTTCTCCGAGTGCACATCCAAGCTTCCTACCAACACTACTACAAGGTATGCTGGGCAAAGTATTTGGTTACAATTTAGGATTAATATTTGGAAAGACACTAGCAATTTTGAAATTTATTAAGGCCATAGCAAATTGTTTTTTTCTTATTGCATGTCACATAAGATTTGCAGTGCACAATTATTTACCCAAAATACACCAGTTTTAAAGTTGCCATCCTCTTTTTTCAGCCTACTGAGCAGCCCTGAAGTCTGGCTCAGCACCGAGTTCAAAAGGCTGCGATTGGCTGAAAAGGCTGTGGAACTGGCCAATGAGAGACTGGCCCAGCAGCAGCGGGAAGAGAGAGGGGAAACTGACAAGGCAAAGGCTAAGAAAAAGAAGAAGACACCGAGTGGAAGCAAGAAGAAACACAAGAGATCAGCTACTACCAGCTAATGTGTTATCAGAGTACCTCGGCAGAAATCAGTGGACATATTTATGTAGGGGAAGCAGGGCTCGAAATTCATTTTTGGGAATAGGTGCACTGGTGCACCCAACCTAAAAAATTACAAAAAATGTTTGGGTGCACCAAATAAAACAAAACTTACTGCTCCCCTTCTGAGCTTGAATCTGAAATGGGAGCTAACTTCAAAATCTTAAACAAGTATGATAACAAAGATTTTATCATTTTTCTGACAAATGTCAAGAATATCCTGCAATTATACATTCGATATGTACAAAAATAACTACAAAAATATTTGGGTACACCAGTGCACCCAGAGAAAAAAAATTGGGCGCACAGCTCCAATTTGCACCCAGTATTTTGAGCCGTGGGAAGATAGCTAAAAGTTGTGACCAGTCTTCTAGCCAGGGACTGTCTTTCTGTCATTTGGCAGAATTTTGCAGCTAAAAAATTTTGCCCAGTCCCGCCATGTCATTCAACTAAATTTGCCCCTCAAAATGCAGGAAATATCCTTTCAGAGGGCCAAGATTTCAGAATGCCAAGATGTCACGTCTAACAAAATTCAAATGACGGAAAAAATTTCAGGCTAGCTAGGACACTGTGTGTGACACACATTTTAGTTGTCAGGATTGTAACAGAACAATTCTTGGTTTAGAAAGATGAAGCTAGATGTTGGGCTTTTCAGTCACAAAGATGAGGTGTATCGGTATTACCATGTAGGAACTTAGCCTCTGTCAAATTTTGCAGTATTGAAATGCAGACTCGCAAAGCTTGCTATAGGTATTACTGAGTATGCATGATTATGTAACTACATTCACAGTATTTGATGTACATGTATAAGCTAAGTAATACTAATATATAATTGTTGCAGTTTTCAACATATCATTTTAGTATTGAAAGTCTTGTTTTAGCAGTATTACCATGTTGAGTTTTCTTTCACTTCTCAATAACAGCCTAAGGCTGGCCTTTCTGTGTGAAGCTATTGAATATCCTTTAAAATGCAATATGCTGTAATAGCAACTATTGTTGTCATTAGAAATAGATGTATTTGTTGTTGTTTACTCTTGTGCTTGTAAATACTTATTAAGAAGTGACTTCGCCTCAGAGAGGTATGGTTAGAGTTGTACAAATTTGACAATGAAGTCATTATTTGTAAAACAAGTAATAAGTTATGGAATTACTCACAAATATATAGTTTATTTTCTTTAATATGTGTGCCACTTATATCTTAGTACTGCTGTAGAAGCATTGTCTCACTGTGAACATTTCAAAATGATTGTAGCAACAAATAGAGTGACATTCTCATCTGTATCTGTATCTGTATAGCCGGTATACATGTAACTGGCCTTTGGCGTAACACACCAGCTTCTGTATCTGTATAGCCGTTATAACCGCCCTTCAGCGTAACACACCAGCTTCTGTATCTGTATAGCCGGTATAACCGCCCTTCGGCGTAACACACCAGCTTCTGTATCTGTATAGCCGGTATAACCGCCCTTCAGCGTAACACACCAGCTTCTGTATCTGTATAGCCGGTATAACTGCCCTTCGGCGTAACATACGAGCTCATGTTTTTCTTATTATGGAGCAATAACAGAAGGAGATACTATTGCTCAAACTAACTCAACAGATACTATAGTAAGAATAATTTAAGATTCTGTCATCAACGAATGTAAAAACACAACGGGAACACATAATTGCTACCCCCAGGTGCTTTGCAACCTGGGAATTTTTATTCCCCTGGTGCTATGCATCCTGGGAATTGGAAAACGGTGAATGGTTGCTTCTTCAGCAGACGAATAAACCAGAAAAGGAACACCCTGAAATAGATGTACTTGTCACTTCCTTTCAATCCACCATACTAGTATATCCAAGAAAGTTAAATAGATTTAACCTCCTTGGTATATCCTTATCAGAATTGTTTTCTTCATTTGACTACCATGATACATCTGTAATGTTCTAGGGGTTTGTGAAATTTGAAAAAAAAAAAAACTTAATCAAATCAAGGACATTATACACAGTATAATGTCCTTGATCAAATTATTTTGCTGGATCACTGCCAAATATTGGTAGACTTTTTCCAGTCTTCTGTGTGGATGTAAGACAAAGACCACCTCACAAAATTCCTTTTTTTTGTTTTAGATTTTCAACAAATGAGTATATGGGTGAGTTTTGAGTAATGAAACAGTTGATAAGTTACAAATTGCAGGAGAAATCTTTTTTTTTTAATGGTATGTACAAGACTACCCAAACAAAGGAGTTTTAAAGCTACAGTATGTATCAAGATGATACTGAAAGTAAATTTTCTGGTCATTTCTTTCCAAAGTTTTAAATCAACCCTACTCCATTGTTAGTGAAAGGGAGCATGAAGGGAGGAAGTGTAGAATATATAATTATAAGTGCCAGAATATAACGCATCATGAGTGTATCAGCCATGTTTTTGTTCTGGTACTTTATGGTGACACCACAAAATAATTGCGTGTCGTGGGCTGTTTCAGCAGCAACAAGAAATGTCAGAAGTGAATACTCTCCAAGCAGAGGTTGGGGGGGCGCCATATTTTTGGCGTTTTTAATGTCTTTGTTTCAAGGTACCAGTGCAAAAAAAAAAAGAAAGCTCGATTAAAAAAAGCCTAAAACACGCCAAAAATAAGCCAAAATCCAAAACACCTCTGCTTGGAGAGTAAAAAATGAGACAATTTTGCACAATCACTGGATGAAACAATTTTAATATTTGGTGCAAAAATGGTACATAATGTCCCTCTAATAACTTCCTGCTTATCACCAAGTAACACATCGCAATTAGCCTCCGCGCATTCATATGCAAAGAACTAGATTTTCGCGCGTGTCTGCGCAAACCAGTTGGGCCAGGCGCCCGATAATGAATTAATGAATAACCTTTGCCCCTTGTGGGTTATTCCAATCCATTGTCATAGGTAGGACAGCTGTATGCTAATCAAAGTACGCAATAGAATATTCATGCATTTTTATGGTTTGTTAAAATCTTTCCTGTGTGTTAGTGTTAATTTTTGCAATCAACAGTTATTTAGCGTTGTTAAAAGCATCACTAATGACATGACAGGGCCATAGAATATGATAACTATATCAACTTAAGTCAGATGGGTGTATCTTTAATTTTTACAAGGTTTAACCTCCTTGATTTTTACTTTATAATTTTATCATGCTTGTTTTGTATCATGGACTGGCTCTAGCTAGGTATTTATTGGTGGTACCCCAAAAAGTAGCTTTTTTTTTTTTACTATTTCATACCAATATTTGAAGCTCCTTCTTCATATCCCTCAAATTTAAAATGATGATGAAATTGTGCCAAGAAATGGTAGTAAATGTCAATATTAGACAGATTTCGTCATAATTTTCAGAATATTTTTGTCACCATCGGTGCACTTTTTATGTCTAAAAGTTTGAGTAACATCCCTGTAAGTTTTGAATGGACTCGCCCGCCGTGACTGCGCACTCAGTGACCTCCCCGACGACACGTGCTCAATTTGCATATTCAAGGTACGGCGTTTTCAGATTTTTCCTGGCGCTGAACTGAAAACGCCGTGCTTCAATATGGTTGACAGGACGAAACTCTATGTTGGCGGGCTGGACTTCGAGGTAACCGAGGATCAGGTGTACTCGTCCTTCAGCCAGCATGGGGAGATCCGCGACTGTAAGCTCATCAAAGACAGGGAGACGGGCAGGTCGCGAGGCTTCGCCTTCGTAACGTTTGCCGACGAAGACAGCGCGGCCCGCGCGGAGAAGGCTCTGGATCAGACGGATCTCGGGCGTCGGACCATCAGCGTCAGCGTGGCCAGGCCCCAGGGCGAGCGGAGAGGGGGTGGCGGTGGAGGCTACAGGGGAGGCGGCCGCGGCGGCTACGGCGGTGGTGGTGGCTACAGAGGCGGGCGCCAGAACTACGGAGGCGGCGGCGGCTATGGCGGCGGCGGCAGCTATGGCGGCGGCGGTTATGGCGGGGGTGGCTATGGAGGCGGTGGCGGTTCGTACGGAGGCGGTGGTGGCAGCTACGGCGGCGGCGGTGGCGGCTACGGAGAACAACAGTACGACCAAGGCTACGGCGGCTACTAGGTCCCGCTGAAAAGTCCAAGCTAACGATTTCTGTCTATCTTGACTGCATATAACACTTCTGAAGATTTAAAACAAATGCCTCGTGGACTGACGCTGAGATTTTGGCTGGCCAACCGAGAACAAAGAACTCGCTTCTTGTACTGATACGCATGTGAGGACTTCTGGCCCCTTAGGGGGCTGTTTGTTCGATTGAAAAAAAATGTTCCTTAACATTTACCCGAGCCAGTTTTTCCTTTTGTTTTGCCAAACATTCCAATGATTAGATATTTGTAGGCATTCCTTGATAATTCTGCTTTCCCTACTCGCGGTATCACTGCATATATGTAACAACTTTTTTCCGACCCTGCACGTGGTATCGTTTTTGTTAAAACAATGGAAGCTGTGTATAACGTTTAATGATAGTGAATTGTGGCTAGAGTTAAGCTATGGAAAATGGACTTGATGCAGTAATAATAAGTTTATATACCTTAACGATAGTCGATTCAACTGTAACATATTCCAAATATCCGCCGTGAAAGATAAAACTTTGCTTATGTATCGTTCCAAAAATTATGACACGACACGGTGGGTAGAAATTCGTGTTCTGGACTCTTCGTGTCTATGTAGCCTACTTCTGGGCTCTTTTGTGTATAGCTTGGGTAAATGTATAACGATAAAGTGCTCCTGAAAAAATCCTGATAGCTTCTTCCGATGTAGTCAAGTGTGTTTCACCTTTTTTTCTGTGGATGAGAAACGTTACAAGAAACGTGGAGCATCACAAGACATGACAGTAAAATTGTTTGAAAAAGGAACTTCATGCGTCACTTCTCCTTCTCAGTTTATGACTAGCGATTCTTTAAGTTGTAGTGTAAGTGGCTTACTACCAGAAAATCTAGCTATATTCGTTTTAATCCAAGCAGAACGTGTAAAATTTGGTTAATTTCTGGAAAGGGATGTAGCTAGGGAGGGGCCCGGGAAAGGTTTTTGCAGAGTCAACATAGAAACTAGCGGGAGATTCGCATTTTTCCCAGCAGCCCATTCGCGGTAAGGCTGACACTAGCACCAAAATTGGGAAACCATTCGCACCGTGATCATGCAGTGTTACATTTTGCTAATTTTTTTAGATCCTTGTGTTCATTTTGATTGGTTACCCATCAGTTAACAGAAAAAATAGACTTGTATTTTTCTACAAGAAAAAGTAACGCCAGCGTTTACGAATCTTAGGCTTCTTATGTTATAAACGTGAGGCTTCTTTGCCTGAATGTTATAAACGTGAATCTAACACAATAATATGTTATAAGGTTATCTGTAAACATATGTAGGGCTCGGTCAGTGCTATACGCGTGTTTTGGGGGTATTTTATACGCTTTTCCCGTTTTTCTCGACTCGTCCACCTCCAAACGAGTAAAACCCTGACTCGGACCCCACATCTGCTTGGAGACAAAAGAGGGGTGACGCCAAGGCGGGGGTTCATCGACCTTTGACCCGTTAAGTTTTGGCGCGAAATGATTCGGGGGGAATTCGGTCTCTGTTTACAAGTGTGTATCTGTGGGTTTTCATCTCTGCATGACCGCCCCCAAAAAAAGTTTTCCGAAAATTACTAAATTATTAGATGTGTGTCAATGCTTGCAATGTATAAACAGATTTAGCGCCAGTACATAGCGGCCAACCCGCATATATTTAGACCGTCAAATTCAATGGGGGAGGGGGTTGTACAAGTAGCACGTAGTACTGTAACTCCTTGCATGATTTGTGCAAAAATTTATGAAGAACCACCCACAACTTGGCGTCGATGGAAAAGCAGTTGAGTCCAGAAGAAGTCCACTTCCTTCTGATGCACGGAAACCTCTCGTCTCCTGCTGTTTTCAAAGGCATGGTGCAAAACTGGCCGGCGTCAAACTGGAGTCCGGAAAGTCTAGCTCAAGTGCTGGAAAATAGAACTCTGCGATTCCGGACAGGCCCACGGAATCCGGCGTCTAAAGGTGAGACACAGCCCTTCGTTAATACACTTGGGTCTTCTGTTCAGTTCATTTGTTAGGCCACACCAATTTAATTTGTTGGTTCACGGATTCGCTCGCGTCATCTTTTTCTGATTTGCAACAAAAAACAAAAAAACATATCAGCCTCTGAATCAACTCATTAAATGATTATGATTATATTTCCCCAACAGTCCCAACAGTTAAAGGAGGTCCCTTCTCTTCAGAGTTGTTACAGTTTTTCCATCTATCAATGCAGTGGTTTGATTAAAGGTTTGAAATTTAATGTTTGGATTTCAAACTAGCCTGGTATGTTGACTTCATGACTCCAGTATGGGCAGTATCATGCCATTTGGGGATATCATAGGTTGCCTTGGTCTGTTGAGTCTGTTCGTATTATTTTTTGCGCTGTCGCTAGAGATTTTTCCTGAAAAAAATATGAGAACCAACAAATCAAATTGGTGTTGCCTTAATAAGCAATGATCCACCTGGATTATCAGTTATCAGCTATTTTATTTATTTTATTTATTGTTTGATTCAGGCAAAGCCCATAGATAACATATGCTTCGGATTTATGTAATGATTGTTATCATTTGTTATTATTTTGTTTGCTAACTTTTAAGCTTTTCAAAATGTTTAAGATGTTATTATTTTAATTTATACTTTTTGTTAACGCAGTTACTGCTCCTATGTTTACATTATTTAGTTGTGGGGAAGGCATCCGATAAACAAAATTGTCTCTGCCTTCCCCTAACACATACTTTTTATGTGTTGGGTTTTTAAGAACCTAATGTGCAAAATAAAGAATAAAAAAAAAACAATACATGGGTTTGATTTAGCTGCAATTAGTGCATAATATTGAATGTGTACAAAACAAGCAAATATTGTAGATTTGGAGAAGGAGAGAGATGATTGCCATAATTTGTTGTCTTTCTTCACCTCTTCACTGTGCACATAAATTTTATATACTGTAATACATAAACCTCTGCTTTGGTGTCAAAGATAATAGCTCTTTGAGAAAAAGCCTACATGTAATGGTGTACATATCTGCTAAGGTTTGAAATGTCCATTTATTTCATAACGGAATAAAAAAAAGAAGGAAAACAAGACAAGCGTTTTCTTTATAACTTTTTTTTTGTAACTTTTTGATGTTACTAAGACATACTAAAGACTGAAAGCATGTGTCTCTCCTGCTCAGATGTCCTGTGGGAGACAGACTGTGAGTACATAGATGCCAGCCTGTACCAGTTCTGTCTGTGGTTAGACCCTGTGTCCCCCCACCCACCTGAGGACAACAGTACAGACAGTAACCCTCTACAGCCATACAACCCTGACAACACATGGGCTTACCTGGACTACAAGTACATGGCAGAGTTGTTCTCTGACCAACCAGACATTTTGGAGGTAAGTCAAGTATTAGACCGTCTATGTTTTCTTCTTGCACAACCCGTATTGTATCTTACGTCTCGGTGTCTTAATCAGACACCTTCCTCAGAGCTTCTGACAGGAGTACTGCTTCAGCAAGCTGTGTCAAGTGCCTTTCTCAAGGACATAATATCATTATCAGGGCACGTAGGTGGATTCGAACACAGGACCCATGGGTTCTGGGCTGAATGCCCTACCATTATGCCACATGACGCCACTTGGCAGCAGTGCTGTGTACCAGTTCGCTGGACCGGTTCCGTACTTGTAAAAATGTTCAAGTAAAATAAAACCTAAAAGGCAAGAACAGTTTCCGGACATATTAGTACATTGAAAAACGTCACATACCCTTTTTGTACCAAACCACCTAAGATCTGCAAAATCTGTGCTGCAAAATGAAGAAAACATTGCCATCGGGCATCGTCAAGTGTCAGCCTCCATGTTATGTGGCCACAGTTTTGCCCAGACAACATTGCAAGGTTGCCAACGTATATTTACATGCAGTTTTGTATATGCCATGGGTTTAGGTCCGGACTTACAAGTCCAGATCTGAACCTAAACCTCTGGACTTGAATCTGGACCTGAACCTAAATGTGAGTTTAGTTACATAGCACTACTTGGCAGCGATAATAGGTTTATTAGGCTAGCTGTTTCATGCCTCTGTCTTGTTCATCTCTCCATTGTCAGGCTGTGAGATGGGAGGATTTTGGCTTCCCCGGGCGCAGTGGTGTGGAGAGTACGATCTGGGTGGGCAGTGTTGGAGCACACACTCCCTGTCACTATGACACGTACGGGTGTAACCTGGTACTACAGGTGTATGGCAGGTAGGGGCATTCACAAAACATCATTGCTTTGGTGATTTCTTTATATGTAAGGCCACACTGACTTAGTCTGAAGATCTCAAGAATACAAAAAAGTTCCAGCCAAAAAAAATGCTGCTAAACCACAGGAATACAAAGCTGGTATTGTGAATTTGCGGTAGTACATAGCAACTTTTACAACAAGCCGGCACATGCTAGCCTTTTGCGGCATTTATGAGTCGACACTGTACTGAGTTCTTGAGTTCTGTGAAGCTTCAGCAGCCTGGGTGCCATCCTCTGACTGTAGTTAGCACAGGCTCCCTATTGTCACTAGCTACCATGGACTACGGAGGATGGCATTCAGGCTTCAGCCCCCTATGAGATTTTTTTTTTAAGAACAGGCAAAAATCAATGCACATGCGGATGTCACCCATAAAATTAAATCAGTGTGGCCTAAAGAACATCATGCTAAAAGGGCAGTCACAAGGCAAAACACACATGGCTTATAAGAGTGATTTTCTGAGTTTCATAGTAGAAGCTTCAGTGTTGTCACTAGATAGACCTGTCACCACTTCATTTGCTTCACCAAAGATTGCAAGTACATGTACTGTAGTGTGAAAGAATTTACGTTAGAGTCTAAAATTGGATTGATACCATGCAGCCAGGCTATTGAAATTGTGCAGCAAAGATTCAGAAGTCATTTCAAAGAGGAAAAATTGCAGCAAACAAACACCTTTCTACCCCAAATGCTTGAGAGTAACAGTTTTAATAAACATTTTTGCTGATACTTTCCCATTCATGAGGAAATGATCAATGTTTTTTTTAAATCTTCTACAGAAAGAAGTGGGTTCTTTTTCCACCGGAGGACAGTCCAAGTCTGTACCCAACACGGCTGCCATATGAGGAGTCCAGTGTGTTCAGTCAGGTCAGTACAGGTAGGGTTGTTACCAAATGTTTCTTACAGTGTCAGGTACAGAAGGACAACTTTCCATGGCACAAGCCAAGCAACGAGTCTCAAAGACATGACCACAGCAGGGGGTTTGGTGTTATCCCTGAAATATTGTAAAACTCATAACCCCCTGAGATACTGGGGACAAATTTTGTCAACTTTTGTTTTCCCTCTGTTATAGCTTTGTCGTTAAGATAATTATTTATTTTTTTCAAATATTTATGAAGGATCACAAGGTTCTACCCCAAATAAACACCCCTATGCTGGTTGAAAGGCAGTGTTGGGGGCTAAATCACAGTATAGGGGGTCCAAATCACAGCATATATAGGGGGCCCCTACACTCAAACAGGTAGCGTCAGACAATATCAAACATACCGGTAGACATTTTCAATTTAATGAACAAGGTTGAGGGGAAATTTGGGTACTATTAAGTCCCAATTCATTATAGTGTTGGAGATACCAAGTTTAGTCTTTACTTCATTTTCTATCTACTTATGTCATGCTCAACTCCATAACTACATACTTAGGCCAAAGCTGGTGTATTACACCAAAGGGCAGTTGTACCGACTATACCAGTGCAGATACAGAGTATATAATGTTTTGCTTTATCAAATAGAGAATATAATAGACAGGAACGTTCATCATGTCAATACACTGTTTACTTTTAATTTCTGTAGTGAAAATTCGTGAATGTGTGACAGGGGCTTAATAGATTGTTTTGGATGCTACATTATTTTTATGATCTAAGAAATGTTCTGTACAATATTCAAGACGATTATAATATTTTTCAGGTGAATGTGGCTCATCCTAATGTCGAGCAGCACCCCAAGGTAGTGAACAGTCACCCGTATGTTGTAGTGTTGGAGCCTGGTGATGTGCTGTTTGTACCCAAACACTGGTGGCATTATGTGGAGTCCCTCAGCACCAGTATAGCTGTCAACTCATGGATAGAAATGGTCAGTGGAAAATCAGTTTTTTTAATGATATCAATAATTTAAACACATTATGTTTTGGCTAACTTTGTATGCTTTTTAGATGGTTACTTTCCATGATGGATGTATTGTTTTGAGTGGCAGTGGTTTAGAGGGAGTTTGTATGTTTTGGTTCCAGACTGAGTCTGTGTAAGACAAGTTCATTGCTTCCAACTTTTCTCCCTTTTCTTTTCACCAAAAGGTTTTCAGTTCTAAGCATTATTGTTAATTAATTATTATTACAGGAGGTGCTAGTGCTATAGAAACGTTATACATATCCACAAGTCAAGTCCATAAGACATCACAATCACCCTCCACAGTTCCAGTACATTTACAAAAACGCAAAACACTTCCCAGAAGTCTGAATTCTTTTTGTCTCTATCTGCATCTGTATCTGTATAGCCAGTATAACTGCCCCTCAATGTAACACACCAGCTTCACAGGCATGTGGTGCAGCGGCAGCTGGCTATATTACACCTAATGACTTGTTACACGGTGTCACCTAGCCTTTAAACATCTAAACCTAAACATTGATTGGTTTAAAGCTCTCTAGTGAGGATACACCTGCTGTACTTTGTGGCAGCGAGTTCCACTCTATGATACCAATGATTATGTCCTACCTGGGCCGCGATTACGTTCGATACGGGTGTTCCGGCCCGTGTGATAACTAGCGGTACAGCCCGGGGGTTCTGAACGCGTACGGCCCGGGGCTTCCAAATGTTCCATAGACAGATTCGAACGCGTTTCGCCCTAACCGCTTGCACCGCTTCCGAAAATTCGAATGCAAAATTCGGACGTTGGAATTGATGTTGTTGCGTTTTTTTGGATTAGGGACACCAAATTTTTGCTCATTTCGCATTGAAAGGCGCGTTTTCGTGGGTGGGTATGACATAAATAAAATACAACACGGTGTATTCCGCATCACCCTCGGTCCCGGCCCTCCCGCGGATCGGATCACCCTCCGGCCTTCGGCCGTCGGGCGATCCGACGAGCGGTCGGGCTGGTACCTCGGGCGATACGGAATACACCGTGTTGTATTCTATATTTATTGTTCTAGAAAAGAGTTTTTGAACACCTCAATCCTTGGTTGATAACTCAGGTACTTAAAGGCATGACTATTTTTTGTTCTTATTTAAGCTGATATTACATGTACATGTAGGTACTTGGTAGTTTGTCAAGATGTTGCACAAGCATGTGGCAATCATCAAAGGCTATACCCCTGTTATGTATATGACTAAGATCTTTGCAGAAAGCCTTCACTGAAATTTTATTTTGCTATAGACCAGTGATGCAGAGGACCGTCTTCAGGAGGCTGTGGTGAGGCTGGTGCTGCTGTCAATCAAATCAGGTTCTGACCAATCACAGTGGCTTAATCCAACAGAGGTGAGTAACCATATTGTGGACATACTGTAAATCACTTTATTTTTGCGGAAGCAAAATTTCGGGGTCTGAGGAAAATGGACACCTTCGCAGAACTATATTTTCATAGTGGTGGCAAGTACAGGAGAAAGAAAGTTTTGGTACAGAAGTGACCAGGAAAACCGCTGATACATGTATTTAAGTACCCTGAATATAAAGTGATTTACAGTATTAGGTAAGGAAATGTGCTTATCTGTATGAAATAAAATGTACAGGAAGGAAATGTCCATTTTAGATTTCAGGGTTTGTGTAGCACAATTGTTGTGTTATATGTTTGAAATAAGAAAAAAGACCCACATGAAGTAGAGGTAGCTATACTAGGGAGTTGAAGTAAAATTCCTCTTGATAACTACTACTACATAGTACATGTATATCTTGAATGCTTTCATGAAAGTTCATATATGTTGGTAGTTATATGTTTAAAAGTTCCAACACAAACTTAAGGTAAAAGTTCTCACTTGGAGCTTTCGACCAGTCACTCTGGTCTTCCTCAGTAGTCGTCCTCTGTCTACTGAGGAAGACCAGAGTGACTGGTCAAAAGCTCTAGGTGAGAACTTTTACCTTTGTGTTGGAATAAAAGTTTAAACTTGAAGCATACATATTGAATACTTTTTGTTTTGTTACTTCAACAGAACGTGACCTCTCGAGCATCAAACCTGGGTTTTGTGCAGGCAGCCTTGGAAGAAGTAAGAGCTAAGAATGGATGTGTCGGTGCCTCAACGTGCAGCTTGGCTGGAGGCTGCCCTTTTCCTCAGGTATTTCCTCTTTTTTTGTAAGGCCACACCAATGTAATTAATTCGTTCTCAGACTTGCCTCTTCATTTATTTCTGATTTGCATGAAAGAAAAAAGATTTTAGGTTCTGTTGATTCAGAACAGTTGAAGAAAGTCCCTGTCTTCCTATTTGATATGCGTTTAGCATCTTAATTATATCAAGGACTTAAGGCAAACACTACATGTAAAAACAAGATGAAGTGATTGAAAACCTTGGTTGACCCCTTAAAACAGATCAACAGTGATTGAGAGCACTTAAGTGACTGAAAAAAATCCAAGAACCAACAAATTGAATTGTTGTGGCCTTATCTATTTCTTTGTTGTTTGTTTTTGTCTGTGTGTGTGATTCTGACCTATATAAAGGAGGTGAAGTTTGTCATCTCTTTAATGCCTTTTTACCACTGATAGGTGCATACATCTTTAATTCGAAAGTAACAATGAAAGTTACTGGAGCAACTAGATTTTGGAAATGGTCAAACGTATTTACTACCTTTTGCCAGTCACAGTTGCTTAAGTAGTTGTTACTTTCATGGTATCTTATTTCCTGGATGTCTTACTTTTATTGATGCATACATCTTAGTTTTACACGATGAAGTTAAGCAGTCTTCTCTCTCATTCTCAAGAAAATTTTCAGTGCTTGCTGAAAGCTCTCTCTGGCATCTTACAATCAGTTTTTACTCATAGGAGGACACAAAAACTACACCACCTCCGCACAAGAAGAGCAAGCTCAAAGATTCCGAAAGAGACAAAGAATCTGAAAGCAGTGTTTCTTTTTCAACTCCGTCGTCTTGTTTCGGGCCAAACCTTGTACCCGTGCTACCATGTACAGACTATTTCACCGACAAAGTGTGCAGAGAGCAAAGTTATTATGTGGGGACCAGTCAGGAAAGGACTTCAGTAACCGTAAGGCCAGTAGATTTCACTGCAGCAGTGAAACATACTGCAGCAGAACACACTGCAGAAAAGACTGCAGCAGGGGAAAGTACGATATCAGAAATAACAGCAGTGAAGCAGACGTCAGCAATAGAGGCTTCTAGTCATCAGACTGCACCAACAAGGACCTCAGAGGAACATTTTTCAGTGAAACCAACTTCAGCAATACAAAACCCAGATAAACACATGGCTTGTACATTAGATGACACTGCCACAACATCTGCTGAGGTTACATCTAAGCTAGAAAGTCCAGAAAGCACAGACACATCCAAAGACATGGACCAGGGCTTAGAGAAACTAGAGAATACCATCGTTAACTGTTTGGTTCAGCCACATGTTGTGCAAGAAGTGGTAAACCTACTGAAGGTAAGGCTTAGGTTGTCTTAGAATTTGTCAGGAGAAATCTTGCTGGAAAATCAATAAATTATGCTGATAATATGGTACATGGATTTCTTGAATATGTTTATCTCTAAATAAGTTTATTGTACAATATAGAGTCTGTAATGCCTTGATAGGCTATCCTCTGGCCTCCAAGTTAGACCCCCTTCCCCAGAGACGAAATGTTGCCTCTCTATCCCTCTTTTACAGATATTTTCATGGTCATTGCTCTGCAGAACTCACCCATCTAGTTCCACCACTCAGAACTTTTAACCGTTCCACTAGGTTCTCCGCTAGCTCACACAACTTCACTGTCCAAATTCTTTGCAGTGTTGCTTGAAATCTTTTTACAGTGACAATTGTTCCCCGCACGGCCAAGCTTAAATGGAATTCCCTCCCTGACAAGTGTTTCCCACCAACCTACAATCTTTCAAATCAAACGTTCACCGCCATCTCTTGACATAGCCATGTTTCATATTTCTAGTTCAATGCCGAGAAGTGGTCGTATAGGCCTTGCATTGAACGACTCCGTCAAAAAAAATCTCAATTGAACCATTTTCCAAGGAAAATAAAATGATGAAAAACACAGACAATATATCCTGTGATAAACATGTACTTTATGCTGTCTTCACTGAGAAAAACCTTTTACAAGGAGAAACAATAATTATGATAATACAATTAAAATAAGTAATGTCTGTTAATTTATTGAAAAATGATACTCTGTACTTCATTTAAGTGTGATAGAAGACAGACAGTCTTATAGTGTACAAAGTCAAGATCTTTACAGTTTTTTTAACCATCTGAATACAACTCAGTCAACTGTATAGAGACACATACCGGTAGTACAATATGTAGCATGTACAACTTTTAAGCTTTACGCTCATACTAACAGCTATAATACATTTACCAGCCATACAAACATCCATATCTCAGATGACTTCGCTTAGAGATGTATTTATTATATTCATTAACTTACTGCATTCACATTAAAACATTTGAGCAAATTGTTTCTCAAAAGTCAATGCTGAACACTGGGCTCCAACAAGGATGATACATGTATGCAGTGTTCTAGCCAGCATCCGTTCTTTGAATTCCATCATTTAAGTAACAGAATTTTGCTGCTCATTATGGACAGAATTATGCCCATAATTTTGCCAGACAAGAATTGAATGTAAAGATATAGAAGGGATGTCATGTACACTAAGCTTAGTCTACCAGCAAAATTTGCCATTCAAAATGCAGGAAATACAGTTACTGTAGTGTTTCAGAAGGTCAAGATTTCAACATTTTCCAGGGGAGCCTGTCTCCTTACCCATCTAGTATTGAATCAGATGCTTGACGTAATGTTACGTCAAACAAAATTGAAACGAATGAAACAGAAAAAAATATTTTAGGCTGGCTATAGAGCACCACATGTATGACATACAGGTATAGCAGCTATGGTCCTTCATATTAGTTTGGTCCCTGTGACCTAAAAACAGCAGCTATTTATTAACCCTTTTCCGACTGACATACACAAAGTTGGTTGATAAATGTATATACATGTAAGAGCAGCATGAACATTAAGTCAAGACAGCCCTGTGAAAGTTTTCAGTTCTCAAAAGCTAACGGGTACTGTGTCAAAAACTACAATGAAAGACATGTACCCTGTAGTTGGTGGTGGCAAGGCAATATGCATCCTATGACATTTGCATTACTCACTTTGCATTCTAAGACTTTAATAAGATTCTGAAGTTCTGTTATAAAATACCTGACTAGGAAGAAATGTCATGATGATTGTAGTTTCTGGAGATAACTTCCTGTATTGGCAATTTTTTTCCAAATTTTGTCTCTCTGCTGCATACATGTAGTTGTGTACCTTCAATTCAAACTTTTGTTGGCAGACAAGATTATAACTTCTGATCATGATTGACATATTTTATTAAAACCAAAGGGTTATGTAAAAAAAAGACGAAGCACCCAGAAATCATTGTGATCTTTCCTCCCAACATTCTACCTGGACATTACGTAGTTGCTGTGTTGGATCCATCTTCCACTGCCAGCTTGGCTAGCTCTGCCTCTACGACAAACACACTTGTGGATTCCTCCCCCCCACCCTCTCCCTCAGCGGTAACTGTCTTGTCCTCATCCTGACTCCCCGTCCCATGATCCTCTACTCCCTCCGCCCCCTCCGGAATTCCCCTCCCTCTAGTCCCTTCCTCATTGCTTCCGGAATTTTCCACAGGATTGGCAACAGCTTCCGTGTTTTCTTCCTCGTCCTTTTTTCCCTGTGAATCTTCGCCGCCGACGGTAACCCCTCTCAGTTCTTCCGTCTCTCCCGAACCCGTAGTACGCTCGTCGCTGTTGGAAACTTCCGGAACTGTCTGTTCGCTGTTCTCAACAGCCGTTACTGAAGTGTCCTCTTGCTTGGCAAGTGTTTTTGGGTCGTCATCAGATGCATCAGTTACAGGTGCATCAAAAGTCTCCCTTGTGTCTGCAGGTATTGTGTCCGTGACTGGGGGAATTTCCGCTATAGGTTCCTGTCCTACTGTCCCCTGCAGACCCGCAGAGGGCGGCTCTGACTGGTCCTTTCTGCTACTCTGTAAAAACATAAATTATAAGAGTTGGAAAAAGGCCAAACCAATTCAATTTGTTGGTTCTTGGATTTTTAATAGAAAATAAAAATGTGAAGCAACGGAGCGAAGAAAAATGGCATCCTATGATAGCCCCAAAGACTACGATAGAAGCCATGAATTCAAAGTCAACGTATAGTACAAGGCCAGTTTGTAATTCAAACAATGAAGTTTAACACTGTGAACCAAAGCACTACATTCAAGTTTGATATATGGCAAAACTGTAACATTTAGGAAGACAAGGACTTCAGTCATATCGTTGATGGAAAATAGTTGCTTGTTTTGTTTCACATAGGCTGGTTAAGTTCTAGCTATTTATGGGTAGTACCCAAAAGAGATGCCTCACGTAACTTTCATCATGTATGAAATTAAGTAAATGCACTAAATGCCAATATTGGACATATTTCCTTATCCACTATATGTTTTGTTTTGCCAACCGGAAATTGCTTTGGAAGCCTTTTAAAAAACAACTGAAACATCATGAAGTCCTAACCTCAGGACCAGATTCATCCTCCTCCCCCTCCTCCAGTGTCTCCAGGGGCAGGAGTTTGTGAGCCATGGGGGTGGGGGTAGGGGTGGGGACGGGTTCAGGGGAGGGAGGGGGAGGGGCAGGGGACGACTCTTCCTCCTGCGCCCGAGCTGCCTTCATTGCTGTCACCACCTGTGGGAAAGTTCAGATACAGGTGTTACAGCTGCATTATGTAACATTAAGGATGATACACACGGGTTTGTGGAATACAATGTCCAGTGCAATCGGCGGAAAAGGCTTTGAAAAGATTAGATTGAAAAAAATCTTCAGATTATTTGAAAAAATCTTCAGATTATGTGAAAAAAGATACTTTGAAGAAATCTTCAGATTCTTTGAAACAATCTTCAGATTTTTCAGAAGATCTTCAGATTTGATCTGAAGCTTTTTTTGATTTCCAATGACGTAGGGTGTCGTTATGAACCGTTATGTGCTATGGAAGGTTTTCATCAAATATCAACTTTGTAAGTATAAGCTGTAAAGGGCTACAAACATTCATCCGAGGTGCAATATTAAGTCCAAACTTAATCTACAGGGTGTTATTAATGTACCTGTGGTGAAGGTGGTGTTCCCACACTGTCCTGGCCTGGATGAAAGGCCCCGCCAGGTGACCACCCTGACATCTCCGTGTCTGACTCCAGACTGGGCCACGGCTCCGGTGACGAGGCGGGAGGCGGCGGTGTCAGGATCTGCTTCTGCGGGATCGGTGACGGCGGTTTCCGCTGTAACGGCGAGCCAGGTTTTCTCCTGGTCGGGGAGCCCGGTATGCGGCGTATGGGTGAACCCGGTTTCCTCCTGGTTGGGGAGCCGGGTTTGGCGGGCGGCGGGAACGGTTTCCGGTCGGGGGAGGTGGCGTCCTCCTGAGAGGTGAGTTCGTGGATGGTGTCGAGAGTCGGCTCGGTGGTGAGCTGGGTGGGCGTGGGGGCGGTGGAGTGATCAGGGGTGGCGCCCGGGTGGGACGGGGACTCCGCGCCGCTGCGGTTGGACCGCGCCGTGTCCTCACCCTGGAATGACTTCCCGGGCCACGTTCCCGATGTCTGTAACGAACTCATGGAGGCGCGGGAATGCCGGCGTTCCTGTGAACAAAGAAGAGTACGGTAAATCCTTTGATCTGAGAAAAATTGAGGGATTCGCAGAAATATATGTTTCCGATGGCGGCAGTTGCAGAAGAATAAAAAATTATTGCTTCGCAGTAATAATCATTTTGTGTCAAACTTCTTTTTGGCCAATAAAACTGTTTATACTGGGTACAATCATGCTCATATGCAAGAGCCCAACCCTGTACATAAATGAGGGCATGCATGGATGGGAAGGGTGCGAGAATAACACAACATTTTCACCGCCGATTACAAATAATAGTGTAGTTAAATTCTCAGAGTTGACTACTACCAATTACATGTTGCAGCTTATGTATTATGGATTACGAAGACTAAAACGGCCTGATTACGCCTTACAAAAAAGGGCCTGCAGACCGACATACATGTACATGTACATGTATAAGACCCACCTGTAAGGCGACTTGGTCGCTGAAGAAGTCGTCAGGTGAGGGAGATGACAGGGTAGGCATGGTGACGTGGATGGTGGAGGCCAGCTCTGACTCCATGGTCGCCTCGTCCCACTGGTCCTGTTCTGCCGCGGGAGGGCGCTGCACGGGCGCTGGGAGGGGGGGAGGTAAAAGATTTTGATGAATATTCATAACCAAACACACAGCAAAAAGTTAGCTACTCTGAGGAGCTTTTGAGATGCACTCCGTCTCTTCTTCAACCTGGTAAAGATCTTGTCTTGGAGTTCATGTCACATGAATTGATGGCAAAAGATTTTTGCTTAGGCCACACCAATTTAGTTGGTTCTTGCATTCACCTGCTTCATTTTTTTTTTCTGATTGGCAAAAACAAAATATCCCAGTGTGTCTATTTCTGTCAAGTAGTTTAACTTTGAAGTTGAATTAAGATTAATTTCTTGAAATATCTGATATGAGTGGCTTTCTAATTTCATAGTGACCACTGTAAGGCCACACTCACTTATGGAAGACCCTGAAGACCTCTGAAGACCCCCAAACTACTACGCTCAGGTGAATAAAAAAATTCCTGCTTAACCACGGGAATACAAAGCTGGTACATGTATTGCGAATTTTCGGTATTACATAGCGACTTTTATGACATGCTGCCACATGCTGGCCTTTAGTGGCATTTATAAGTCGGCACTGTACTGAGTTCTTGAGTTCCGTGAAGCGTAGTGCACACAGATGTCATCCATAAAATTAAATGTGTGTCCTAACTGAAATAAATGACCACTAACTTACCCATGACCACATCAAAAGGCACGTTCTTGTAGTGGAAGGGTCTGGCCATCGTTGGTGTAGGCTCCTCCCACGGCGCGGTGTAGGCCGGGGTGACGGACGTCATGTGGGGATGGTTCATTACTGACTGGGTGGGGGAGGGATGGGATGTCCTTTTGTCTCCTGTAGTATAATAGATAATGATACACAATATCACATTAAATACCCTGATAAGCCAGTTACTACATTTTTTCTACTTTAAAATTTCTACTTTTTTCATGTTAAAGTTTTGTTCAAACTAAAATACAGTCTCAAGTTGCATCAGAATCTGTTTCAATTAGGTTTTAACAAATCTTTTTTTACCGATGGCAATGATTGGGATTGAGTTCTCGCCACAAAAAAAAACAAATACATCAGCTACATATAACGGTGAGAAGCAAAACAGTCTGATTGAAGGAGGAAGGCGTCTGATAGATAGGAAGAATCCCTGGTTGTGTTATTATAAAGGCTTTGCTAGCTTTTGACAAGTCACATGTATACCTGCCACCCTGAAAATGCTAGTAATATCACTAGTGGGGTTGTGTGGCGTAACGACAGAGTATTCAACTCACACGAGTAGTCTCGGGCTCGAATTCTGCCCGATGTCACTAATCTTACTTGCCCTTGGGAAAGGCACCGTCAACTTTCCTCGCTTCACTCATGGGGAAAAATGATATTACATGTACCTACAGTAGCTCCAGTTAGGGACGTCCCTTGGATAGGACATTAGGTCCCGTGTTTGGGAAAGCCACATGTTAAAGAACCCACCACACTTACTGAAAAGATTATTTAACATCTACACAATATTATGGAATATTCTTCGCTGTCTCACCGTAGATTTTCTGATATTTCCTCTCCAGCTGAGCCTGTAGTGATGTAGGCTCCACGTCTTCTCGGCTGGTCTGGGGGTGGGGGGACTTGAAGTGTCGAGGCTCCCCTGTCCCCGGGGCTGCCCTGTCCCCCAGGGGGTCCAGTCTCCACGGTCCTGCAGTCCCCACCGTGCGGGGAGGCATGGGGGGGAGGGACTTCTCTCGAGCATCCAGCAGCCTCATTTTCCTGAAACACACCAACAGGTGGTTTTGAAAACATTAATCTTACAAAAAATAGCAAATTTTATGGCAAATACATGTACAAACAACATGACGTGTATGAAAAAAGAAAATTCAATGACGTAAAAGAGTCTACGTCTAACATTATACTACATTCTACAACATACGCGGTACATGACTGTATAAGTTTTGCTGGGTTTGAGCCTGTATCTTGTTACAGTAACTGTAATTCACTATTTTTTAATGGTACTTTTATGTTCACAGTTTTTGCAGTCACTTTTGTACCAGAAATACTGTGAACAAGTAATTCACCGACTTCCTTTTTTCTGCCACCTGACTTACAGTCCCTCGACCATTATTGTCCATTTTTCTCAGACCGTGAAATTTTGTTACCACAAAAATAAAGTGAATTATAGTACATGTATATTATGTGTGAACATCACCTATTCCCTCATGATAATTAATGACTATCAGGTATTTCATTAATAAACAAAGGCTCAAACAAGCAAACAACATGTTCTGTCCCAACTCTAGATGTCTGTACCTGTGGTTGAGTATGGAGCTCTGTTGCGGTGGGGCCGGTGATGTCCTAGCGACCTCCTGTAGAGCCTCCTTCAGTCCTGGCATCATCTTCTCCAGTAACTTCTGCAGGTTTGGGTCCCTGGGAACAAACAAACAAACAAAACTGCTGAGAGACAATGCCAATGGCAATGAAAAAAACTAAGGTCAGTAGGTTTAAGGTTGAAATGGTTGAAAAATAAGAAATAACTTACGTCTGTGCATTTTGGAGCAGCTGTATCAGTGTGTCCTGTGAGATGCCTTTCAATCTGTAGTAGAACAAAATAAACATATTTACAAAAACATTTTAAAATTCAATTTCAAAACACAACCACACTTATAACAATAATAAGTATCTCCAGGACCTACAGGTATAACATACACACCCCCTGTTCAGCAGTTCGTAGGATAGTCATGAGGTTTCCATGATCAAACAAGTTTTATCTTCAAGTTGTTTTTATAGAAATCTCGTTCTGATGATGTTTGCTAAAAAAAATGTGTTTTGAGGTGTGATTATCCTCGGCTGTGAACGACATTTCAAAATGTATTATACAGTAGTCCTATGGTTGACTGTGACAGGGACTCTCAGTGAACCTCTGAGGATGTTACCAGACTCACCCCTCGTGCCGGGGACTGAGACGGTTGGACGTGTACGGCTGTCCTCCTGTCGGCACACCTGATGTCTTGTTCTTAGACGATCGCTTCTTCTTTTTCTGGACAGTTTAGAATAAACAAACAACAACACTATTAAATTCCTTTATTTATGGCTCAATACTCAATATGTAGTCGCAAGTACATTCTTTGATTTCACTAACTGAAAGGAACAGTCCAACTAGACCTGATTTTGCAGTGTTCTAACCAGCCTGACATTTTATCCGTAATCTGAATTTTGTTTGACGTAATCATGTTGAAAGTGCCAATGTGACAATCATGGAAATCATACTCCCCAGGGAAAAAAACTAAAGTTTTTATCCCCAGGGAAAAAATTTAAAGTTTTGACTCACAATCTGAAATGCTTATAATTTCCTGCATTTTGAGGGGAAAATTTTGCTGGTAGATGAAGCTTAGTTTAATGACTTCTTTCCATATATTTACACATGGATTTCTGTTGGTCAAAGATGATGGATTGGACAAAACTTTTGTCCATCACAAGCAGCAAATTACACCAAATGACAAAAAGACTGATTTATTTCAAAAGACTGATGGTGGTGAAAAGTCCAGTTAGCAACAACAACATGGGACTTGAACTCCGGAGTCTTTGGTCCAGCATCATCAATATTATGTCAACAAACATTCCAGTGTCAGAATACACCTTGAAAATGGTTTATTGTCTTAACAAACATTTACTTAGTTTCCGAGTCCAGTTGCAAACTTGACTGCATTGTGCAACATGTCTAATTTAAACAGTAACTTCTTTAACTTCAATGGCAATCATGGCCATCTCATGAGCCATATGTGTTTGTTAGAGATAGCCACATTGAAGTCCCTAGTAACTGTTCAAAACAGTGTCTTTGTAGACTGACTGAACTAAACTTTATGAGACAGATATTATGTTATATGACTTAACAGGCCTCGACTTATCTTCAAAATATCCTTTAAGTCTATCATATGTAAAATTTTGACATCACAGTATCAAAAATAGTATTTTTGAAGATTAATCTGTGAATACAGGCCAAGAATGTTCTTTTTCTTCAAAATTTCCTCTAAGGCCACACCAATTTAATTTCTTGGTTAACGGATTCGCCCGCTGAATTTTTTTCTGATTTGCAAATAAAGATAAAAATTCAGAATCAACTGCAAAATGCTCATATTTTGCCCTGAACAGTTGAAAACAGTCCTTTTCTTCCTAGTTGTTACAGTTATTCCATCTTTCAATGCAATGGTATCATTAAAAGTTCAAAATTCATTGTTTAAATTTTGAACCAGCCTTTTGTGTTGACTTCATGGCTCCTATCATACCATTTTGGGCCATAGTAGGAGGCCAAGGCCTGTTTTTTTTTTTTTTTTCGCCCGCCCGCTTTAAATTGGTGTGGCCTAAGTATATACAATTTTGATATCGCTGTATTAACCCTTGTCCTGCTGGCATTTTTTACGCAATTTTATTCCTTATTTGATATCTTAATGCAGGTCGTAGACCCTTGACTTATTCTGTGCTCCTTACCGTTTTCCTCTTGTAGAAGTTCTGAGGCAGGAGTTCCTTTGTAATGTCCTTTGCTCTCACCACTCCTGACTTGCTCACTGACCTGTGGATAATCATACAAAATTATACAATATTATAAAAAAATTACATTAAACTGACAAGATAATGAAGTCAACACTATATTTCTTTCAAAGCAGGACACAATGCAGTTTGATAATCTTCGAGTGAGAATGACAACATTTCAAAACTTTTCATACTGTAGTCTGAGTGCATGATTTTACATATAGGGAGTGCAAAGTTGACAAGTTTTGACAGATACATATTTAATAAAAGAATTAATGAGATACTAAAGTGATGAAAAGAATTATTATTATTATATCATTTAGGTCATAGCTTCAAAATGAATGGGAACGATAAATTTATAACATGATATTAACTACAGTAACAGAATGCATAATATTTATATTGTGACAAGAAGGTTGAAGATTGTGCCAGTAAATTGACCTGGAAATACCTACCAGGTACACATCTGACACTACCAGTCCATTGGGATGGCATGAACAGGGATGATTAAAAATTACAAACTTCAGATAGTGATTATGAATTATGAATTACAGTAAATTTTCAGTAAAAAATTGATTATGAATCAAAAACCATGGAGTACTTTACAAATTTCGTTTTGCATGTTATAAATGAAGGTAACTGCTTGTGCTTTGTGTAGAATGAAAACCAGCTATTACGTGTTACAAATCATGTTCATATGGGGAGGCTGCCTACAGATTATGAAAACATAAAAGGCCCAATTACGCCTTGTAAAAAAATATCACGCAAGCCCTCCCCTGCCAATCCGCTACAAGACGAAGACTTACCCCGTCTGTGGCGCGGTCCGGTGGCGCCGCCTGTGCGGGCGCGGGAACCAGATGTACTCCAGGAAGCTGCCGCCCAGCAGGTTGTTGACTGCCTTGGTCCTGTCTGTGAAGTCAACAACTTCATGCACTTCCACCTGTCGGAGGAGAAATCAACCAGGCAATCAGAGATGGCAGACTTCACCCCCTCAATGGTAAGCACCCGAAGACAAGCAATATTTCAATCCTTCAGTAGCAATGATATAGACATCTTCAAGTGGTAGTATACAAAGTGGTCTTTTTTCTTGCAATATTCAGCATTTCATATAGATTTACATGTAACATTCTTGCGGCTTCTCTACATCTCAGTTCTCTTGAAATAAAAGTTTTTTTATTATATAATGGAAGTTCATCTGTGTTGGTAGTAATACATGTATTAGTACGATGCTAAACTTAATTCCAACAGCCTAAGTAGTTCTACACATTTTCAGTTATCCACTATCGAGGAAGACTTACACAAAGATAAAATTTTCAATGACCACTGTCGCCTTCATCAGGATTATTAATATAAACTTCCGAGACATACACAGACACGTGATCTTCACACGAGACTTTACGGTATACATGACATCAGCAAGTGGTCAAACGGGCCAGGCAGTTTATATCATCTTCTGTCTTTGTTTTATGAGTGATGTTTCTTTCCATTCATCTCCAGTACTTTTAAAATGTTGATCTGAAATATGATAACAATTTTTTCATGGTTCAGGCTGCATGGAAAGTCCCCCTACCTTCTGTGCAGGTCTGACAGGGACAGGAGTTGGTGTGGACCTGGACGTTGCTCCCTCTACTGACTTGCGGAGGGACTGCACCGAGGTCATCATGGGGCTGACATGAGGACCCATGTACCCGCTCCAGTTCTTCCCACTGCCATGGTAACAAGGTCAAAAGGTCAAAAACATCCCACTTTTATTATTTTGAAAATACATTTCACAATGTCATCCTTAAATAGCCCAGTAGAAATCAAACAATTTGATGTCTGGTCCTTCGGTACAATACAAATCTGTGCATGAGATTTTTAACTGCAAGATAACAATTGAAAGTATTGACCCCAACTTTTTTATTCAAGTTTTTCTTTTGACTATCTCATGAAGCCCAAATCGGGTGTACTCTCTTTATTTGGGGTGCACCCTTTATTAGAAGAAATACTGTATACTAGTTTTTAAATCACACCCGGGCCACGATAACATTCGATAATGGTGTCCCGGACTGGGCTATGCTTGACAGTATGGCCCGGGTTTCCATGGCCGAACTCATTTTGCTCTAACCTCATGCACCGCATTCGAAAATTTGAATACAGGATTCAGACTTTGGAATTGATGTTGTTGCATTTTTTCGGTTTAGAGACACCAAATTTTTGCTCATTTTGCATTGAAAGACACGTTTTCTTAGGTGGGTATGAAATAAATAAAATACAACACTGGATACTCGCATCACCCTCAGTCCCGGCCCTCCTACCAGTCGGATCGCTCTCCGACTTTCAGCCTTTGGTTGATCTGACTTGGAGTCGGGCGATACAGTGTCGTATTCTAAATGTACACCCTTTGCCCTTGTGACACTGACCTTGGGCGATGTTGCTGACGTTGTGGGGAGGTGTGCCCTGACAGGGTTCCTCCCACCAGTCTATCGGCCAGCGGCTGGCCCGTGTCCAGCTGGAACTGGTCCCGCTGGTCGAAGCCGTAGTCCCCCAGCAGGTTCACTACGTTCTGGGTGGGGAGGCTGCCTGGAGAGGCCGTACAAACACATGTTAACTTTAAACAAGGCAGATACAGATGGCATCGTTCCTGGAACACTCACAGCTGACTTCAGCCAGTTCAGAAGTGTGGCAACAAATTCATATCGAGTCACCTGTCAATTTCTGTCTCACTTGACACTGTAAGAATATACATGTAGGACATTGATAAAGGCTATTTCCTGAGAGGGGTGAAGGAGGCTATTTACATCAGGGCCCATCACCCTTCACTTAACCGTGACGGGGGCCGACATCGTCTACCAGATACCTTTGACCTGGTGTTGACGCCACACTTCAGAGAAGCCATGTGACAAGTCTCACTGAGTCAGTCTATTGAAGAAAACCAGTGAGAATTTGACTAGTCGAAAGCTCTAGGTGAAAACATTTCTTTGTGTTGAAATAAAAGTTTCAACTCTAAACATGTGGTAGGATCTTTAATGTGCATAGGGTGTGGCTCTCCCCAAACACGGGACTTCCATTTTACGTCCTATTCGAGGGATGGCCTTAACCAAAGCTACATACTCATTTCCACCTGAGTGAAGTGAGGAAAGCTTTGTACAGTGTCTTTCCCAAGGGCACAACATTGGGGCATGGAGGTGGAATCGAACCCAGGACCCATGGGTTTCTGGCAGAATGCCCCTATCATTATGCCACACGACATCAGTTGTAAGTTTGTAAGACAGTAACGTACAACAAACTTACAACCGTGTGCTACACCTGTACATACCTCCTGCTCCTGACGACTGCTGGGAGCCGGTGAGCGGGCTGAGGGAGCGCGGTGGTTGCGGGCGGTGAGCGTGTTTGTGAGCCAACCAGCAGCCAGGGTGCTGGCACAAGGCCCCACAGGTCGCCGGTGGAACTGCAAACTCACTCATCAGGAAGAATTTTACCGCATCTGGATTTTAGGAAAGTATCAAAGAGTGTTTCAAAATAAATTGACATCAAGTTGTGATCAACAGAGGTTTTAATCCTCTTTTTTCATAAATAAATATTGGGATGAAAGATTATAAGTGCAATGTCTTCAATCTACACTAAGTTAAATCCTAGGCTATGAGTTAGGAGCTATGTTTTAGAAAAACATGGGCTGTCTGGTTAAACATGTTGTGGCTGTTTCTGCAAACAATATAACATTTTATGATCTTAATATCAAGTGTCATGACTTTGAATTATGACATAGGTCTTACCTTTGTTGTGTCTTACGTTTGTTTTTCTAGATAACTAACTAAACGTTTATTCGGAACACGAAAAAGCACTCTGTCATCCAGTAGTGAGTAGATTACATGTAAGATTACTTACCTTAAGATGTCATCTAGCTATGTTAAACCTATCTATTACGTTACCTAAAATATATGGCAAGCTTAAATCAATGTAGGCTTAAAACGCACGTATCTGAATATCAAATACATAAAGCGATGTTTGATTCACCTTATAGAGACGGTAGCGTTATGTGTATAACGAATTTCCTTGAATGAATTAGTAGGCATTGTACGCAATGTTGTGTCAACAGACACAACGTAACCTTAAACTTCCCCCCTCCCCCTCGCTTTGTAACTTTCACGGCTGCGACGTGTCAAAAAAAGTTAGAAAACAAGGCTAAAAACACTACATTTGACAAAACCCCTGGTAACACGTTGACCACCGGCGTTTCATTCACGTGCTTAGGGCTATCACACACGAACGGCAAACAGGACTTACCTTTAAACAATAAATCTGTGCGCCGGATTTTACGACATTGTTGACAGCGTCCGCCATGTTCTTGATCCCCACTCAACTTTGGGTCGCCTAGCAACAGGTGGAAAGTACACCGCTCAGAAGCGACACCTGTTGATTCTTATACGAACTGCAGGTAAGGCAGCCATAGCGTGCAATATGAAGTTTACTGTATCTAAAATGCTCAATAGATTGTTGTGATTCTCATAAGTAATAAAACCTAAATATATACTATAGAAACCTTAACTAAGTGGAATACAGAATTTTTATGTAATACTTGCAACTATGGTAGGATACTTGTTATACATGACATTTGTGTTTTATTCTTTGCTTGAGGTCTATGGGGAGGTAGGCATCTTACTTTTTGCACTACTCTACATATATTAAAAATGTTATGCTACATTTTTACTGTCATTAGCCACTTATCTTGAAATGAGAGGAGAAATTGTGGAGTTTTTCTTATGTCATTCTGTATCGTATGTGGTATTGTAATNATATTATATACCCTCTTGGACCCGCCTGATATAGTTATACGTTTGTATACATAATTATGTATTATGCTTTCTTTTTGTGGTTCAATGACTTAGACATATATCATATCAGTTTCTGATCACATTTGAAATGCTTACTCTCCTGTTTGTATCCTCTTTTCTTAAGACTCTTCAGATTGGACCTCTGCTAGGAAAGGAAGCAGAACTTGGTCCATGAAAAACTGGGGAGGAACCTAACAGAGCTGAACCCAGCCATCCACAGAAGGATACAACACATCACAACCATTTCTAGAAACACATTATATCTCCAATTTAGCCAGTAAATATTCATTATGTATGTTAAATTTGCATAATATATGTAACAGTTAAGTCATGTATAGCTTTTAAATATGTATGTATGGTTTTATAGTGTGTAGTTCCAATATTTTACACAACTGTAGATTTTCATCATCATTGCAATGATTTTCATATAAAATTTCAAAGAACAATTATTATAGAAGTGGCCATGGCTCGGCGATCAAAAGAACAAGTAAAACCCAACAAAACTGGCTTGATATATATCTTATGTACTGTAGTATAAAGACTAAAGTGTACTGTAGGAATTAGTTCTTCATATCATTGTATATCATTTTGTATGATATACGTATTTACAATTAGCCTTCTGTCATGTATTTGTAATAATAATAAACTTATCATCATTATTATTTCAGCCTACGTCCTGTTTCCTATTTACAAAAATGTAATAAGGTAGTGAGATGAGCGCAGCAAAGTCCTTTGTAACTAAAGCTGTCAAAAAGACTAGAAGTTTACTTGCAGTCTGCAGAGGATGTCATTGATTAAAGTTACATGCTGTGGCCTAATTGCAAACATGGTAAGAGTGCGTGCTGAGTGAATCATTGGTACTGTGGTATGTAACTATTTATATATCTTAGTATCTCCTATACATGGCACTACAAGACTAGTCTATGGTAATGATCTTTGAGTGGCAGACGGGTAGATTTTAAACTTGGCCTTACAACGGCAAAAACATTCCCCAGTTATAACGTTGATGTTACTCTATAAACAGCACATAAAAGTCAGTAATATATGCAAACTATCCTTCTACCTTTCCTTTCCTTTCCTAATAAAGGTATAACGTTAAATCGTAGGCAAGACCATCCTGAGGTAAACATATTGCATTTGCTTGCAAATGTTACCTTTCTAGTTATTCATTTTGTTTAATGTATGGATTGGGATGAATAAATACCCGATTTTGACTCTATTTGTGACATTACGGTGACATAAAGAATGTGGAATGGAGCCTTCTGATTGGTCAACGTCACCCGGCTATATGATAATTAAGGGTTAATGACCCGCCCAGAGGTGAATATGGTGTGATAAAGCCTTGTCAGTTGCTATAACTACCGAATAAAGCCACCAAGTGAGCGCAGCGAACGAGGTGGCTTTATGAGGTGGTTATGGCAACTAACAAGGCTTTATCACACCATATTCACCGAGAAAGGGCGGGCCATTAACGCTATTATCATATAGCTTACACGATAGCCTATCCAAACTGATGCAGTAAGTGACACAATGTACAATTTACCCGTTGCACATGCTGAATAGAACATAGTTCCATCTGGAGTCACCTGAGGTCACTGGGTAGAGTTCACGTTCTATGTCTTCTATCTGGGTCACAGGCAGGGAACAGGTGTTCTTATAGGAGTCACCCGAGGTCATTGGAACACAACTCAAGTTATTTTTGGATTTTTTAGAACTAGAGCTGTGTTCTATTGGGTCACCTGAGGTCATATGCGGGTGATTATTGGGTTTGTTTAATGTATAGATTGGGATGAATAAATACCCATTTTTGACTCTATTTGTGACATTATGGCATCATAAGGAATGTGGAATGGAGCCTTCTGATTGGTCAACGTCACCCGGCTATATGATAATGTTGTATAACATCTGTGTCCATGATATCACCAGGGTCCATAATATCGCCACCTTGAGAAATAGTGTGCTTAAAGATATTTTTACTGCAACATACCCTAGATATGTACATTTGAGGTGTGCAGGAGTGCATACCAAAAGTATGTTGCAGTAAAAATATCTTTAAGCACACTGTTTCTCAAGGTGGCAATATTATGGACCCTGGTGAAATTATGGACACAGATGTTAGTCCTTTGTATACCAACCATTGCCAGAAAAACGTCATTATCTACCAGTGTTACTGCTGGTGAAGTAAATAAACTGAAACGACATTACAAACAACGCCATTTAAAAGTCGTTTGAAATTTCTGGAAATAACGTTACCAAATGAAGGAGGAAATTATCATTATCTGTGAGAAATGAGTACTCTGGTGGGATGTAAATGGGTATAATTGAATATAACGTTTTGTGAAAGAACTAATGATAGTATATTCTATATCAAGTGATTATACCATAGAAAGCCATCTCAAGAAAACAATGCATGTGCAGCTCGAGGATAACTTAATGTATAGGGAAGTGAAGACTATGGAAATCTGAGTGTATATTTAATGCATGGTCTATACTGTCAGTGTTGCAAACAGATCTACAGTGTACAATAAAACCATGTGGTGGTCGATGAAACTAAGAGGTTTAACCATGATCAAATTGAATGTTTTCTAAGACTTCTCTTGACCATAATAATGTTTAGGAGGTGTAAATTGTGGATTTGAGCAGGCCTCACTTTCTCCCTGGACCTTGCTTGGGGTCATAGGGACTGCCATATATGGATCTAACCTGTGCTGGAAAACATTTCTTGCATTCAAAGTCGACTCATTCCAATCTCTTAATTAATTATAAGGCTTAGCATTTTCCTCCCCTTCATCTTGCGACTTTTTTTTTCATTACAAGTATTGTTCCAATGTTGTTTCTGTTCAATTTTACAGACTTAATAAAGTTGTGTAAAGTGCCTTTTTTTTATGTTCCCCTGACTAACGTTAGATGTTGTGTTCTTGGGAAAGGCACTTGACAGGAGTTTCCTCACTCCACCCACTGTAAAAATGAGTATTTCGGTTAGGGAGGTACATGTAAAAGGCAGTGGAAGGAGAGGGATGGACTGACTGACTGCCTTCCAATACCGTGCCCTAGATACAGTGGATCAACAACCCACTGCCCCTACAGCCCGAGAAAGGCTACACACCTTTTCCTTTTCTTCATATTTTATGTGTGCAGATAGCTTTGCATTTCAAAAGTACTCTGAGATTTCTTTGCATTTTGGATATACAATGTACTGCTTTCTGTGAAAATATATGAACAGTTTTTTTTAACATGTACTTTTTTCCTAGGCCTAAATAAAGTAACAGCATGCAAGTGAATATATCAGACAAACAAACATGCACACATTCTGGGATTTAATAAGCTCTTTATTCTATTACCTATAATAATACATGATAGCTTTGTGCTATTGTGTTTGAATGGAACAATACATTAGCTGAAGCACACCTGATTCCCTATTTTCTTAACATTAAAAAAACTTAATTAGACACCAAAACTTGGAACATCAGGGCTCAAAGTACATTAATATTCTCTGCAATGTGTAATTCATAATACATTTGTAATGATAAATTATACCAATCTGTAATCTTTTAGTTTGCCATAATTTTTTATGTTGTAATTTTTTATGCAATCTGAAGGACTTTCTACAAATTGCAGTTGAGTTTTTTGAGCTCTGAACATTCCTTGTTGTATCATTTCTTAACTGATAGGATCAAGGACATTAGATAAGACACTAGGTGGTGTCAAGGCTGAATACTACTACATGTACTTGAAATTGCACTTGTTACTTGTGAGTGAATGAAAGGTATTTTCCTCAAAACACATATATAGCAGCCATGGACTGAATTGTGTGTTTCAATACAATGACAGATTAAAAAGCACAGTTAAAAGTACATACTTGACAACATCAAACGTAATTAAAAGGAACTGATTCTTAAAACCTACAGGCCAGTCGGTATGTACAAATCTCAACGTTCTATGACCATGCGTACTGTTTTGCTATCACTGGTACTGCTTGTTTAACAGATAGGTCATATGGATGATCGGACTGTTCTAAAATCGTTTTGTTCTTGTTCTGAGGGTGGCCAGTAGATGTTTCTGTCTGGTGCCTCTGTTGGAAATGTCACCTCTAGAAGGAGGAAGTCAGTTCCTGAATGTAGGGCGCTTCAGTAAGAACTGTGCAAACTTTTGCCAGAGTTTAGCATCAGCATTTAGCTAGCCATGTCAGTGAGAGTTCTTGTAGAGCTGATGAGTTAAAGCTAGTGTAAGACTGACTAAGAAATATGTTGTATGCCCTTTGCTGGACCCTCTCTGTGTACTCTGATGTTGCAACAGTTAGACCGGAGTGCCATACTTGGCAAGCATATTCTAACAAAGGAACAAAACCAATGTATACTAACACAAGATCATGGGAGTCCAGTCCTTGTTTACAAAGAATTCTTAGCATATACAGTCAGTGTAAAGTCGTGTATAAACAGTGTCTTCAATACAGAAAGTAAACTACTTCTAAAATGTGTGACAAATATAGAGACTTACATCCTTGCACATTGTTTTATTGCTTTGGTTTACTTGCAAACTAAATCATTATAATGGCAGATGTACATATCTTATTTGCCCAACTGATGATACATGGGGAATTATACTACTATAAGGCCACACCAATTTAATTTCTTGGTTAACGGATTCGCCGCTTCATTTTTTTCTGATTTGCAAATAAAAATAAAAATTCAGAATCAACTGCAAAATGCTCATATTTTGCCCTGAACAGTTGAAAACAGTCCTTTACATCCTAGTTCTTAAAGTTATTCCATCTTTCAATGCAGTGGTATCATTAAAAGTTCAAAATTCATTGCTTATATTTTGAACCAGCCTGGTATGTTGACTTCGTGGCTCCTAACGTACCATTTTGGGCCATAATAGGATGCCTAGGCCTGTTTTTATTTTTATTATTTTTTCGCCCGCCCGCTCCATTATTTTTCTTGAAAAATCCGTTAACCAAGAAATTAAATTGGTGTGGCCTAAGGAGAAATTTGATAAAAGAAGTCCTTGCAAGGCATAAATTTTTTGTACTGCAGTTTTTTTTAGTAAAACCTAAAGAAAAAGATTCCTTCTGTTCCAAAAGGTACTTTGTTTTAATTAATAAAAAGGCACTTGTTTTATCTGAGGTCACAGCAAGACCTTTTTTTTTGGTTTGATTGCCTTCGAATTCCTAGTGATACACTTCTATCTGCTCTCAGCATGGAGTTAAAAGACACACTCTCCGTGTTCTACGAGAAAGACAAAATGTATGGATGACAGGATGTTGGACGCCACTGGACAAGCCCCCTGTTGTAGTGGTCTGTGTGGCCCATGGGAAACAGAGATTGGCACTGCCCTATACACCAAACATGTATGTCTAAATTGAGGTGGAATATAAAAATGTCCTGAAAACCAAGTTTAACTTGTATCTTGGACTTTTTGCACTTTCAAATCATCAATTTCCTTCACCAACTTCCATATCCTGTGTTGGAGGGAGGAACAAATCATCCCATACATCTGCTGAGAGATGTTGTTTGAGGTCATCTCGTATGGCTGTCATTCTGACTCCTTGTGCCACCTCAACTTTAGAGGTGTCATGCAGATAGTACCCACACGCGTGCATAACCACCAAGTTTGCATCATCATCAAACCCCGGTGACCCAGAGGAACCATAATCAAACGAGGACTTGTAATTACATCTTTTTGGGTTGTTCAGCATTGCATCTCCATACTTAAGACAGACTGCGAATGTGTCATTTGTAACCAAAACAGGACAGCTAGTGTCTACTTTTTTTGGCCTACCACCTGGGTGCCCAATGATTGTAACTGTTCCTTTCTTGACAGCTCTCTCTATCTTATGCCCCAGACCAGGTGGCAGCTTGTCAGACTGATCAGGCAGAACCTCCAGCTCCAACAAACTGTAATCCAACTCATCTATGTCTTCTCCCTGAGGACTGCTGATGTGCACAGTACGTGCAACTTTAAATCCAACATCCTGACCTCCCCTAAAGGGCCTTTTGTAGTTGAAATACGCACAGATATCACTCCGATCTGCAATTTCTGTCACATGCTTGTTTGTTAAAACATATCTGGATCCCATTCTAAAACAAGTCCCCAAAATTCTATCATTGTTCTTAACAAGAATCCCGGCGGAGCAAGCTAACTTACAAAGCTTTTCCAGAAATTCGACCTCTGTACCTTGGTTAGCATCGTTATAATCCTGTCTCAAAGGTTGGCAAATTTTGTTTAATCTTTGCTTCCTTCTCTTTTCTTCATCTGGTTTTGCCTCTTCCCTATCAAACTGTACTTCATGCTTTGATATTGATGACAAGAGTTTAGCAACTTGTTTCTGGCTTTTACGTTTCATTTCCTTGGCCCCTTTGACTACCTGAGGATCCAACTTCCAACTATCTGATGCCTGCGACGTATCTATTTCTGCCCCAGAACCCTGTGAATCTGGGGTCCCATAACTCTCATCAGTATCTGACAGAGCTACATCAGGACTGCTGGCCACTGTCTGGTTCCATTCCTGATCACTAACTTGTGAGTCTTTAGCGACTTTACAGGTGAAGGTCTTGCCATCATAATCAGAACACATACTTGTGAGTTTAATGTTTACCTCCTCAATACTATCTTTGCACATGAGTTTGGCATTCTTGAGTTTGTTATTGTCAATCCTTGCATCTCTGTAAAGAGCTGTCAGAAATGTATCATCTGGAAGGCAATCAACCAAAATGTCAAAGGGGAAAGCCTTAGGATTTTCCTTAGTAAGAAACTTGGCATTCATGCTAGGCCTATTCTTAACATCAAGGTATATCTTATACCTTTCACTGCACCTCAGCTGATCATCAGTATACTTGTTAGTATTTTTAGGGATTTTACCTTTTCCCCGTAACTTTGCCTCAAACCTCCCCCCCTCTATCACACGGCAGGGGCTCCTAATGTTGGGTTCCCCATTAATTGGGGGGGTCTCACCATATGGTTGGAGGTAAATCTTATGCAGCTTCTTGTTGATTTTCTTGAGCCTTGTGTCAGCCTGAAGAGCATCTTTGATGGGCTGATTTCCGGGTGCTCGTATCTCAAAATCTCCATGAAGCTCTTTCAGGGCAACCTTCAGCCGAAACATGATGTCCCCTGAAGAGAAAAATAAAGCAATAAGTTTCGTGCAGGTCCAGTATGTTCCAACAAAGTACTGGCCTGGCTGTCACCTTGCATGTTTTGTCTCAATAGACCGATCCTGAAGCCACGTCCCCATAGCAATGCTTTAACAATAACAACTCGAACACCTCGGGCAAAATTTGCGCAGGGTTGTGGCGGCCGCCGCCAGAATGTCGGTTTTGCTGTCCAACTTTTGGGGTCAAGTTTTTTGGCAGCAAAAAACTCTCTCAGCAGCCCCCTAAAAGGGTAATACGCTATCTTTGTTGGAGGACACATCTGCCTAGTAAAATTATTTAAGGAGGGGACACTCAGGGTTAGTTTTAGAGAGAGCAAAATGTGTTCACTCAATGGGGACGTGGGATGCGCCGCATAAAATCACACGGTAGGCAGACAAGAGTGCCCAGTTACTGATAAACAGCTGATGCATCTGTTGCGTAGATTATATTTATCTGTGACAGGTTTTCCACTGCATTGCTGCATGCATCACTCCTAGCCAGGAAAAAAAAAACAAATTAGAAAACAGCTCGGGTGCTCACAAGGGAGGGCGCAACTTATTAAAGGCTTTGTGATACAAGTAGAAACATAAGCTCGCAAACAGGGACATTAACAATAATATTAGCTTTATAAAAAAAATACAAGAATAACAGAACGTCTTTGAAGTTTAATTAACTTGAAATTACCCCCAATGTCAGAAATTCAGCTTCACCAGTAAAACAACGAGTCTTTATCAAGCAGACATGAACTCATTTTGCTGCTCCTAGATTTCCCGCGCTGATTTTGACCGAGGTGTTCGAAATAGAACAGGGGGTTTGATGTGTTCGATCAGATCGGTCTATTGTTCACTCGTCTCATTCATATCTACATTGTACTTTGTACTATCACATAAACATGTATGCATAATAGTACACAAACCAGTGTTTGGGTGTTCCTTATGCACCTGGGTTGAGGCTGATGGTTCATTTTCTTTGTTTCCTTTCTTTCTTGTCTTCACCTAGAGAGGAACAGTCATAAGATTTAAAAAGTAAATATTATAATTAACGTTGAATTAAATAATATTTATTGTTAACGTTATATCCACTTACTAGTAGTAACACACATTCACCATTTTGGAGTCTGGATTATCGTTTTTCTTATTGTAAAAAGAAAGGGCAACTAACAGTAGATGATAGGTAGTACGTATTGTATAGATTCTTAGCACTTTGCATTAGAATATAGCGTTTCAGTATGAAATGCTCATGTTTTACATACTGGATATCCTCTTGTGCATTTATATAGCCCATCTGGACAAGAACATGCAATAAAGATTCATATCATATCATTGTTACAACATTTTTCACGCTTCAGTACCCAATGAAAACAGTGAAGTATTTAAAGTAAGGCCTATGGGGGTTAGGCAACCAGTGGTGGGGGGGGTGGGC